AGGAATAGCGGAGTCAGACAGTCCTACCTTGTCCATTGCTTATGACAGTCAAGTGGTTGCATTCCTACACTTTACTTGTATCTAGGTTGCAGTCAGTCAAAGAATAGGCATCATTTTCATTGACAGTTACTTCTTGCAGTTACTGAACGCTCCAGTTTCAAAACAGGCTTTCTTTAGGGGGAGGGATCCAGTCGACTAGTACAATTGGAGCTCTGAAACTTAGTGCGACACCGGTGCGAGTAAGGCCAGATACCAGTGCCACAAGGTTCCCAAATGGCGCGCAATGAACACTTTTCAAAGTGACATCAAAAAATTATTCAAGACATTTCACTGGAATTTTCAATATAGGTATCTGATATACAACATAAACCAATGACGACATGTCGGTTTATGTAGCTATAAAGTTTTACCGACTGATGTGGCTTGGATGTGTTATGCACATGTCAGACCACTGCTAACTTTGACACTTGAGTTTAACTGAGTTAAGAATAGGTTCATTTAAAGCTAAGAGTGGTCACAATAATTTATGGAACAAGCCTATGACGTCTCTGACCGTTCTGTTTCGTCTAGAGAATTACAAGCCTCCTGGCTGAGGTTCCTGAGCTATCGGGAATTAGTGGTTGAGAAGACCTGTTAATATGGCTCTAAATGCTCCACAATGGTGTATGTGTATTCACTTTTTATCACCTGAGAATTTTCGAACATTCTACTAAACTCTGTTCGTCATCTTATTATAAAGGAAATATATTTGTAAAGTCCCAGTAAGAGAAAAATAGATTTTTGACGTTCTTCTACCTTGTGAAAGTCACTGCTTCACTTTCTCTTTGTATGCTGTTGCAAAGTGCGACATCTGGAATCGAGGCACTTCTGGGTAAGGTTCTACGTTGATTTACCTATTTGTCTTCGGAAGAGTCTGAACATGTTTGACATTGTCTTACTTCTGGAGTCGGGACTTCCGCTTCGAAATCGGCCTGGATCAAGGTTTAGTTAAAAATTTAGGCGGTAAGATAAGATTCTATTCTCGGACTAGTGAATCAGATCACTATAGGTGAGTCACGGTGTTTATTGCATTATTTTTGGGGATGGTAGTAAAGACTGGTTAATTCACAGGAATTTTCACCCCATGTTTTCATTTATTTTAGGTTTGTTCCTTGTGATTTTAAGTAGTTGAATATACTTTCAGATAGTTTTCAAGAAGAGCTAGAGTGAGCTTAAAAAAAATATGGGACGACTAAAGGTTGAGAGAAGTATCGTGCAGTACTACTTAGATCGGCTCAATTCTTTGTCTTCTATTAAGGATTTCGAGGAAAAACGTAAGTTTTCCCACTTCTATTTGAAGTTAATCAATCAAATTTGTCACCATTATTATTCTGTTTATTGAAAATATTCATATAAACAATGATCAAGATTTGACCGAATAGTATCGCAGATGTTGGGCGCTGAGTAAAACGTTGACATTATATGTAGCTCATATGTGTAATTCATAGCGTATTAGAACACTGTGTGACTTACACAAACTGTATCTAATATTCACTATATATTGGTTTTGTTAGGGTAGCATTTCTCAGTCATTCCTTGTATTTGGAATATTTACCAATTTCTTTGAAAGTATTAACTTGGTGTAGATAGTTCTCGAAGTCAGTCGATCAGTCATTCAACACCAACACGGTATGTAACGAATGCAGTTTGTAGAGGCAGTACCTTATGGGGCCGTACTGGCTTTATTCGTAGTGCTATTTTCATTCAGCACAACAGATGTGTTCGTTCTACTGCTTTAAAGCCTCTCAAAGCTGCTGTTTTTAAAAGAAGCAGCGCTTTTTGGCGTAGGGGGTTTCTTGTGATTGGTAACTGCTTGTGTCTCTTTGTTACTGCTGTGTTGTTCGGTTAGATGAGGGGAGTCTAGGTCTATAGACAGGGTATGGCTGTTACTATTGGTAGGCATGCAAAGTATTTTTCCTCCTTGAGTGGTGTGTGGACTGACGGAGGGCTGTACTCGCGTTGGGTTCTGGATTTTACTGCCCAACCGTATTGGCCAGCTATATCATCTAACCCACTTTTTTACGCTTGGCAGTGCGCTGTAAGAGGCTTTTGGAGTCAGACGTTTTGCCAAGACAGTGTTGGGTGAGAACATTTCCTTTAGGTGTGTCACTTACTCGCTCTGTGGTGGACACGTTGTTGCTGAGTACTACCTGGTGTTTTACATTTTTCCTCCAATGTTGAGTTCGATCCTGAGCTTTTCTAATATGTCTAAACATATTTTAGAGTTTAGCACCGTTGCCAAGAGAAACAACTTGCCTTCAATCAAGGGATGATGCGAACTAGAATGAAGTAGGGCACGCAAATTGCGAATCGGTCTTCCGAATCCTTTTACGATCGCAAGTAACTTGTGGCCAACTACAGGCGCCTTAGGTCATAGCTTTAGCCTTTTTTAGTGAAATACTTTCCGCGACATTGTAGGCGATGGCCTTTTGTAGTGATGCAACTTGCTGTACCACCTCTGAGGCGATGAAATCGGTCAGTTTCAGCCTTTCGTACTTCTTCAACGTTTGTGCCTTTGTGTAAACCTAAACGATAAGTAATGGGTGTAGGCTGCTTGAATACAGTGCAGACTTCAATTAGCATTGTGTTGAGCTCAGTAATTTTGGCTGCACTGGAGCTTTCTACGTTATTGAGACCTACAACAACCTCAGTTATGCCCACGAAAGGAGTTTGCGACCTATTCGGAGAGTTTTGAAACTTAGTTTTGGAAAGACCTGTGGAGCATTCATTTTTTTGCCTAAACTATCTGTTCAGGATCTTTTGGCCTTACTATGTCCCATTATTATGTTAGTGTTTGGATGCTCTGAGGGTAGGTATCTCATCAGGGAAGTGTTTTTTCAGTATGGTAACCGACATGAGGTAGTCAAAAGACCACAATCAACTAGGTTATTACACAGGCAAGTGGATACCGGGAACAACATTAACAATTGATCTTTGGGGGGTAAAGGATTAGATAGCACAGAGGAAGAGTATTTTGTGATACAGTTAAGCACTTTTGTGATCAAAAATGCAAAATTAAAAGACTGGCAGCATTAAAGTTATGGTTTAACAGAACAGGACAGCCTTGCCATGACGTATGCATCGCGTTCATCCAGCTACTACGCAGATTGGGAAAAGTTGGTTTCGGGAACTTTACCTGAGCGAGCCTAATCAATACAGAGACCAATCACAAATTCGCACATGTGGGAGTACGAGACCAAAAAGAAACACAATGGACTGGCCAGATGAAATAGTGTATTTAGTCGACCGGGCTAAAATACCTATGCATTCCAACTAATCGGCGAGGGTGTCCGTGCAGGCAATACAACATAACGTGAGGGCGTGCCAATTTGCATGGATGCTCGACAGTTTGCATCCAGTTTGTCCATTCCGATATAACTATGCAGGTCGGCATCAACGTCGAGTTTCGCCGAACCATAGGCTATTGATTTTAAGGGAATTCTTCGCTGTTATGAACCGAATAGCGTTGTACCAATCCAATACTATTTGTTGAGTTCACGCAGATTCTCTTCCATTGCAAGTGCTACTATGAGCACTGCTTATCTATTTGCCTACATGTTAATCGTCGTACCTGCCCGTGGCATCATTAGTACATTGCCATTTCCGCTTCAGTAATCCCTGCCATAATTTTTCATTGTCCTATCCTTCCCTCTCGTTGTCTGCATTCCAGCACATTTAATTTAACCTCTCCATGGTACAATGTAAATCCTCGCCTTGTCTAAATTTTCCAGAATTCCACCTCTATTCTTCCTCTTCTGTTTTTTACCTTTCTTTTCCTGGGTCTCTTTCATTACCTTAGCTCCATTATATTTGTTCAGTGACCATTTCAAACAACTGTATGGGCACCATGGTTAACCAACGAATCTTACTCCTCCGAATAAATTTGTCCAACAGCCAACCACCCGTTTGGTTTTCCATAGTATTCTCGTTGCCAAAATCTGCCGCATTGAAATCGACCGAGGACCTAGAAACAAGTGCAAGCAAACCATCTAGTCTATACGAGCTCATTACGTGGGTATTAGACGTTGAATTCTCCTACACAGGACAGTGGAATCCTACCTGATGATCACTGCGGTAATCGTCACGGTAACCCGAGGCGGATAGCCCATCACAGGAAAAAAACATGTGTATTCATGTCTTTTCTTCCTGTGAGTTTGAAATCACTGAAACGCGCGGCCTGCCGAGATTCCTGCTGGTTCACCTGTCGGCCGCTTGAAGAGGAGGCTAGGTAGATTCGTAGATTGGCAGCAATGCTCGGCTTACGCTCATATGGCTGGGATAAGAGCTAGTTTGAGGCCACCAACTAATTCTACACAGTCCAACACAGTCAACCCTTTACCAAATATCTTATACCGCCGCCATCCTTGTGATCTTGAACTAACTTCTCACTTAATGTTAGACGTTTCCTCTAGCAACCATAGGCCCGGTCATGGCATCACCACTTCCGTTTGCATAATTCGTCCCATAATCTTGTCTACTTCTTTTCTTCCCTCTGACTTAATCTTACTCTGTGCTCCCGCTTCTATTTATTAAGTATCTGGTTATGGCTGTTATCTACCGTGAATGTCTCTAGGTTTCTCGTTTGCTTTCATCCTGCTTCTTTTCAGTTTGTTCTTTTTATTTCACTTCTCCCTTCTTTTCACTGGGCATCTATCTATCCTCTCTCTTCTCTTTTTACGGCAAGTCAGAACAACTGACTGGTGGCATGAAACTTAGGGAAGCCATCTGGGCTACAGTCCTTGAAAAAACCACACAATCCAAATAAATCTGACTAACACCCAACCACCCGTCAGCTAACCAGAGCTACAGCAGACTGGGTAGGCCTACTGCATCGGAATCTACAGAAGACCTGGAACCATTCCGCCAGGACTAGAAGCGGGCATAAAGAAGGCAGTCGGTTTACTCTAGCTCATAAAAGGACTTTGAGTATTGGATTTCTTGTATTTGGATATTGAAAAGACAGTGCAGAGTTTTCAGCGTCTAACAAACTGTTACGTTACGGCTGTCCGTGGTTTGCACTTTACATACTTATTCTTACCTTCTGAGCGTTTATCATATAATACAGAAGAAACATTGTCAGTTAAAATCCAAATAACCAAACCAGTTTAGTATTGCCTCTAAAAATTTGTATCTTCAGTTATGACCTATTAATAAGTTTATGTTAGTAGTTGGCTACTTAAGTAGCCAACAGGAATGTGGGTGAATTTACTAACATTCTTATAGTCTACAACTTGAAAAACGTTATGCGAATTTCACAGTGGTCAGCTTCACATTAGGGTTTTCGTTAAGTGTTACTGCTTGCATCTAAGAAACCCTAGGCGCAGAGAATCCCAGTCGACATTTACGTGGGGCGAAACGGTGGGATATTTGTCCAATTACAATGAAAACTCGGGGCAAAATGCACGCTTTCGCAACCATTTTGAGGATACTATGGATGAACTAAGTAGTATGCTTCAATGGGATATTCGGTTATCCGTAACACTTGAAGGTATTGTATGTGATACATCAGGTAGGTCGATCGTCAAGTATAATTTCGGTCATAGCGCTAAGCAAAGTCACGATAAGTGTGTGGCAAACTGCTACTGTGGACCGCATAGAGTGGCTATCCACTGTACTGGAGAAGTTCTTTAAGAAGCCGTTTTCTGAAGTTGTTGTTCGTAAGCGCCAATATCATGTGCATTCATTTCACCAGGAGCTACCTTCGACTTCCATAGATGCTGCAGTGACTGAGTATATAGTAACTGAGATCTACACAGGGGTGCAGCATTGGTTTCGCAACATGAACTAAGGGAACGGTAGGAAAGGAGGGAAGTCGCACTCGATGAGCCTCTTCCTTAATTTCACCCTAAGGTTATAGAATGTAACCTTCCCGGATTCCATTCAGAAATCCATGCCCACAGACATGTATTGTATGGATGCCTTAGACGGAAGAGAACGTATGGCGTACCAAATCTATGATGCTGAGCAGCTGTGCATCGATTAAAACGTTTTACAATATCTGTTCAACTACATTTCCTAACTTAAACGAACTACTTTTATTTTAATAAGGGCATATTGATTTTGTTTCGCTCACAGTATGTCAAAGTTTCCGGTAAGCGTCTGTTATACAATTAGGAAGCTTCAAAATGTGGTGCTTGAAACTTCGGCCAAGCATGAGGAACTGCAGAGTATTTGGTATGAAACTTGGGGCTAACTAAAAGAACTGTAGGAAAGTCTAAAAAACCCTCGCAAACTGCAAAAAGGTTTTGGGTTGCCGTAAGTACGCCCTGAGGTTTTTACTAAAGGAATCAACCCGAAGTTATTGAAGTGCTTTGTAAGTCTGGCTGAATTATGATGACCTGCTAGTCTTGCGTATCTGTTCCGTGATCAATGGCTTCGACCATTTAGAGTATGTAAAAAAATGCACCGAAACGTTGTGCACATTCGTGCATTAGGCAATGACCGTACCTGCTGTGAGGGTTAATGATACCACGTGTCTTCCTCAACCTCTGTAGGTGAAGCGGGGTTCGAACCCATGGCCGACTAGTTGGAAGTCAACTCCCTAAACCGATAAACCACAGCTGCACAATCTGGCATGTGATGCTAATATATCTATCTCTACAATGGCCAAAGTGTTGTTATTATACGTGCAAACCATTTCATAAGTGATTAAGTGTTCGGGAAATCCGAAGTGACAAAAAATAAGCACAAGTCATGGAGTTATCTATTTTCAGTACGAAGTGGTCTATTAAGTGATTATGACTTGTTTATTCAACTATGAAAGGTAGGTGGTCATTTTAGACTTTATAAATGATATGATTGACATTCGAGAATCAAGAAAGAGGAACTCAACCAATTTAATTAATCTCGTACACTTTTTTAAGCCTATAATATGTATTATATTATTGTTGTCAATTCAGATTTTCCAAATATTGCATCATACTCATAAAATGTTCGGCATTTGTATCGCCAAAGTTCTGGTTATTCTAGAGGTGTGCCCACATTAGGTACTGAGTGATTTTAAAGACCGTTCATAGGTTAGTTACAGAGACTTAACACGCTGCATCAGAGCTTGACACTCGGCTGTTGTTGCAAAGCTTCGAATTTTGAAATGATTCAGTGTTCTCTTGGATTGCTGACCGGGCAACACTTATTGCTACTCAGAAGTATTATACACCCGAAGTTGTTCAGTTTGGATAACGTTGCAACCGTATTTAGACTGGAATATACCGCTTCAGCATTTGGCGAACGGTTAGAAATCTCATGTGTCACTCCAGCGAGCACTCATATGACATCTCTAATACTCGAAAGCCCCTAAAACTGATGATTCACCTTCAAAAGTTATTACAAGCACAAGCTTTTGCGAATCTTGCAAAATTTAGTTTGGACTTTCATATTGCAGAGCACGTCACACTTATAAACATTGTCAACTGATTAGGTATTTTTACAGTGAGTGGAAAAGGCTCTTCGGATAACATAACTACAGCACCAATAGTATTCATCTCATTCGTAAATCTTTCAAGACATCCATAGTTATGGTAACTAGGAATAGCGGAGTCAGACAGTCCTACCTTGTCCATTGCTTATGACAGTCAAGTGGTTGCATTCCTACACTTTACTTGTATCTAGGTTGCAGTCAGTCAAAGAATAGGCATCATTTTCATTGACAGTTACTTCTTGCAGTTACTGAACGCTCCAGTTTCAAAACAGGCTTTCTTTAGGGGGAGGGATCCAGTCGACTAGTACAATTGGAGCTCTGAAACTTAGTGCGACACCGGTGCGAGTAAGGCCAGATACCAGTGCCACAAGGTTCCCAAATGGCGCGCAATGAACACTTTTCAAAGTGACATCAAAAAATTATTCAAGACATTTCACTGGAATTTTCAATATAGGTATCTGATATACAACATAAACCAATGACGACATGTCGGTTTATGTAGCTATAAAGTTTTACCGACTGATGTGGCTTGGATGTGTTATGCACATGTCAGACCACTGCTAACTTTGACACTTGAGTTTAACTGAGTTAAGAATAGGTTCATTTAAAGCTAAGAGTGGTCACAATAATTTATGGAACAAGCCTATGACGTCTCTGACCGTTCTGTTTCGTCTAGAGAATTACAAGCCTCCTGGCTGAGGTTCCTGAGCTATCGGGAATTAGTGGTTGAGAAGACCTGTTAATATGGCTCTAAATGCTCCACAATGGTGTATGTGTATTCACTTTTTATCACCTGAGAATTTTCGAACATTCTACTAAACTCTGTTCGTCATCTTATTATAAAGGAAATATATTTGTAAAGTCCCAGTAAGAGAAAAATAGATTTTTGACGTTCTTCTACCTTGTGAAAGTCACTGCTTCACTTTCTCTTTGTATGCTGTTGCAAAGTGCGACATCTGGAATCGAGGCACTTCTGGGTAAGGTTCTACGTTGATTTACCTATTTGTCTTCGGAAGAGTCTGAACATGTTTGACATTGTCTTACTTCTGGAGTCGGGACTTCCGCTTCGAAATCGGCCTGGATCAAGGTTTAGTTAAAAATTTAGGCGGTAAGATAAGATTCTATTCTCGGACTAGTGAATCAGATCACTATAGGTGAGTCACGGTGTTTATTGCATTATTTTTGGGGATGGTAGTAAAGACTGGTTAATTCACAGGAATTTTCACCCATGTTTTCATTTATTTTAGGTTTGTTCCTTGTGATTTTAAGTAGTTGAATATACTTTCAGATAGTTTTCAAGAAGAGCTAGAGTGAGCTTAAAAAAAATATGGGACGACTAAAGGTTGAGAGAAGTATCGTGCAGTACTACTTAGATCGGCTCAATTCTTTGTCTTCTATTAAGGATTTCGAGGAAAAACGTAAGTTTTCCCACTTCTATTTGAAGTTAATCAATCAAATTTGTCACCATTATTATTCTGTTTATTGAAAATATTCATATAAACAATGATCAAGATTTGACCGAATAGTATCGCAGATGTTGGGCGCTGAGTAAAACGTTGACATTATATGTAGCTCATATGTGTAATTCATAGCGTATTAGAACACTGTGTGACTTACACAAACTGTATCTAATATTCACTATATATTGGTTTTGTTAGGGTAGCATTTCTCAGTCATTCCTTGTATTTGGAATATTTACCAATTTCTTTGAAAGTATTAACTTGGTGTAGATAGTTCTCGAAGTCAGTCGATCAGTCATTCAACACCAACACGGGAACTGGCATTACTGCCTAACAGTTCGATTTAGCATGTCAAAGTAGAAAACATCAATAGAAAAGATAACAAATAAAGGAAGAACTTGATTAAAAGTAATGGGAATTCATAGAAACAATGGCGGAACTTGGTATGACAGTCAAGATGAAGATAATGCATAAATGCATCTCCACCACTGGGATAGATTCTGAGCCATATCATGTGGTGTCCAACCACTGATTTTGACTTTCACGGACCCCGACCTGTAGGTGTACATTTCTTTATATGCTTGAGACCAATGATCAGAAACTTCATGGACTGATGACAAATTTTAAACTAGGTGCCCCTAACCTTTTACTCGCATATGCCTACTTCAACTAACATTGCACAACGAGGTGAATGGTGATTGAACATACGTAACACATCTCTCACTCGTAAGTCGATGAAGGCTGACAGCCTCACCAACTGAAATTCCTCTTCTACCTTAAACTATACGCCTGGTTTCTTAATAACTGATGTTTTGGTTCCATCGAATACCTGAAGTCTTATATCTCATGTTCTTTACCTTTAATCGCCATGTTTCACAGCCATATAGTAGAACAGAGAAAACTGTAGCACAGTACACTCAACCTTCCATAGGCAGTCAGATATCACGGCGGCACCATATATAGCGTAAGTCGAGAAAAACCGGCCGACCGTTTTGTGTCCGTGCAGAGCTTTCGTCAGCCAATAACCCACCAGTGCTGACTCTACTTACCGAGCGTGTAAAGTGGTCAACGTGCTCAGCCACTTAATTCTCTGTTTTTAGACTGGGCCCCAACGCAAACCAGTTTCGGAGCAATAATTTACATTCGGTTGGTGAGAGATGCATCTCAAGCACTCAAATTTCCAGTCAAAGCGTCCGGAAGACTCGGTATTCATGCCGGCCTCTTCACCTAATAGAATGATGTCGTCTGCATATTCTAGGTCTACTAAACATTGTCCTGCAATAAGATCAATCCCTGGAAAGTTATACGATGGCAGGGAACCTCCATAAGCATGTCTATTAAAATTGAATAATAATGGAGAGAGTGTACGCCACTCGATGTACACAGCTGACCGGTTACCCCACCATAGCCACTAACACACTCACTGGTGTTCGAATATCCAACCTTCAATAGGGTGATATATTTAGCTGGAACTCGTTCCAGTGAGGGACATTGCTGTGAGACCTCTCGATAGACAGGATCAAACACCGCCTTCAACTCGAGAAATACAAATTGTGTCGGGTGCTGGTAAATGTGTCTGTTCAAAGATGTGGTAAAAGGTTAGTTAACATCTGAGTGACACACACGATCAGACCTGAAACTTACGCGTCTTATGATCTAAGAACCCAGAGATTTTAGGCGGTATTTCATCAGGCTGATTCTCATGGGCCTCTCACAGTGGGACTTCTCTCCTTTCTTGAAGTCTTGGACAATCGGTGGTTGAGACTAGCCAATGAGGATCATATCTGGTTCTTATTCTTTGTTCCTTGTGATTTTAAATAGTTGAATATACTTTCAGATAGTTTTCAAGAAGAGCTAAAGTGAGCTTAAAAAATATGGGATGACTTAAGGTTGAGAGAAGTATCGTGCAGTACTACTTAGATGCACTTCAGTTAATCTAACCAATAATCCTTGACCATCATCCTTAAATACCTCTGATAGCAACCGATTTCGACCTGCTGCCCTTCATCGTTTCAGGCTATTTACAATCTTCTCAACTTTTGCAAGAGTTGAAGGGCCTGTTTCACTGTTACATCCAGGATTTGATTGGATAGCAGGCAACTGAAGAGTACCCGAAGGCCAGTTGAAGTGTTCTGAGTTGCAGTTCCATCCTTCTGTGTTATGGTCTCACTGACCATTGACTTTTATGCCCCAGTTTTCTTGATAAATCCAATGAACTGTCTGTTGTTGCCTGTCGACGGCATCTTTTTCATCTCTTTAGTCTTAGCCGTCCACCAGTGATCACAGTATTGTATAGACTCTGTCAGTCTACAGTTGAGTTGCTTCTTCCCATTCTGCTCGAAGCCTACAGTACTGAGTTTGTATGCAACCATTAATTCAGAAGAAGCTCCTGAGGTTCACTGATCCTTTCTAACTTTCTTCTGAGGGATAGTTACGGTTTTTAACTCTTCGTTTACAGCAAATGGAAGACGGCGTCAAGCATCTTCGGCATGAGTGACGTTGTTATGTTCCAACAACTATCTAGCGTGTTTTTCTTTGAAATAAGTCTTACTATTCTCACCATCGAGCTGCACTTGAAACGGTCTTGCAGTTGTAGTTTCTTCACATTCATTTGGTCACCTAATCTAAGCAACACGTAATGATTCCAGATATATTCCTTGGAAAGAGTGAAAATCTTGTATCCAACGTCTCTGGCAATAAGTGGTGGCACTATGGTATGACTGTATCCACCACTGAGTTGCTTTCGGGGGATTTGGTGCATCTCTTGGTTCCGATGTTGTACCAAGTTTGTGTTCTCAACAAACCACTTTTAGCTTAATGGATGCCACGTCAGAAAATGTCTCTTAATATATGAAGTTCGTGCTAGCCAGAAATAAATAGTTGTCTAATCACATTTGTAGCCGGCGATCGCCATTCTCTGTTCGTTCGGTTGTGGTTCTAGAAGTGTCACCCGGCTACCTTTCTGGCCGGTTAAACCTACCTACTAGTACATTGGAATCACCTGATTCTACGACCCTATCTGAACGTTTAGCTTTCAGCAAGGGGTGGACAGTTTTCAGAGTAGCTCATCCTTCATTTAGTCTCAACTGCGGTTATATATATATGTATATATCAAAGACGGTAGCCAGTTTCATCATTCTTTTTAGTCTTCACTGCACCTCGCTCAGATGACCGTCAACTGGGACCCAGTAGAGCAGTACACTTTCTGCCGTAAGACAATGCTATACCTATACACACACAAGACCATGCGAACTAGCCATCAAATTCCCAGAAATTTGGAGAGTTAATTTTGTATGTTCATCAAATTGGCCAACTAGGATTGAGGATTAAGCACTCAATGCTCAAATCTTTCAGACTATCAAATCCAAATTCACTTTGGATGTTTGTTGTAAGCTTTACAGATCTATTTTTGATATAACTTCATTTGCATACGATTTATTTCCGTTTTTATTTCACTCACTGTTTGAATAGTTTCAAGTTAAGAAACGGTTGCATATCGAATACTTTTTCCTAAAACAAAAATTACTTTCGCTGTTGAAAACAAAGATTCGCGAAGCTGATATATATATATATATATATATATATATATATATATATATATATATATCAGCTTTGCAAATTTGCCGTCTTTAATAACTGTTTCACAACCATACATTCAATCAAAACATACTATCAAACAAAGCATTACCCTTAAAAGGCTCTCCTGTATCTTATCTTGATGCGAATTAGTTGGGTAGACAAAAGTTCATCTAACCCTTTCTATTTGTACCAAGTTTTCGCCGATTACTAACTCATCAGCGTTCATGTAACTTTTCCGGTGAGTAAAATGTTTAATTTATCTCACGGTTTATGAACACAGTACCGAAGGCTAGTCATTCAGAATAAGAAAACTGACAGTAAAGGAGATAGTTCAAATAATAAGAGGACTGGAAAAGAGTTCACTTTGTCTTTAGGTTATTTTACTGTTTATTTTCAAAATTGTAGTGTTCTGCTTTTTGGTGGAACGGGCTCAGTTACCTTGTGCACATCCATGCAGTAAACAATGAACCGCACTTAATGTGTGTAGTCTTATGGTACTGCCTAACCACCCAAACCTTGGTAGGTGGAGTGGGGTTCGGACTCATGACCCACTGGTTCAAAGTCATCTCTCTAAACTACTGAGCCACAGCCCCACAAGATTAAAACTAAGAACAACGAAAATAATTACTATCTTTAGTTTAGAGGTGTATCTAGTAGCATCTCAAGCCATCACTTGACCTATGAGATCTCATCCAACTACTGTGGATGGACAAACAGATACCCACTGAAAAATGTATTTTGTTGCTGATCATTCCTACACGAATAAACCTCTTTTTGTTGGTTGCTTGAATGGTTTATGTGAAACGTATTCAAGCTACTGAAGTCACTTTTCTGGGATAACTTCGTCACTTAAGTAAGTATCTGTACATGATTCAGTGTTGGAGATCAGTCAATACGAAGCCATTGATAACCCATTTTTCACACCTACAGTCATTCATCAGCAGAAAATGTTTGAAAATTTAAGAAAGCTCATGCTTCCGAGAAAATTCGAATCTGCATTACTTGTTGCTAAATTGTGATATCCGATTGTCTATTAAGAGTCGCATGTACTACTCAGCAGTCCGCTCTCTTCTACTCTATAGATGTGAAACATGGCCATTCAAGGTGGAAGGCATGGAAGGCTCCAGCTGTTTGACCATCGTTGCCTCCGTAGTATAGGTCGTATTCCATGGTGTCACCACGTGAGTAACACAGAAGTCATATGTAGAGTTTTTGTGAGATGAGGTAAGTCAGTTGACACAGTTGTAAACCTTCATCGACTGAAATGTCTGGGACATGTGTTACGTATGCCTAGTCGCCGTCTGCTTCGTCACACAATGTTGGCTGAAGTAGTTCCAGACTGGAAAAGGGCTCGAGGTGACCAGACTGAAAGATGACAGCAATGTGTGAAGTGTTTGACTGTTGGTTTGAGCCATGTGGGTCGATGGAGACTAGGTGGTTGGGGTCTGTGGGACAAGAGGAACCAATGGTTGGAGAGTCTAGGCGATCGTGTGACTGAGAACCGATGTGAGTGGTTCAGATGTATACACACATTATCCTCATCTTAATGATGCTATCCCGAATCTCACCATTTTCTCATTCTTCGTTTCTCTCACTTTTCATACTTTATATTTCTTCTGACTGAATTTTCTTTTCTTCATTTTCCACTTTGTTGCCATTTTACTTGATGTACTGATATGATGTGTGTGGACTTGGACAGTTACACAGTGATACCTGGTCCTATGTTGATATGGACGTTGCTGAATTCAAGGTATTCAGACCAAGACTGATTACTTATAAGAAACCAATGAAAAAATCCTTTAAAATAAAGTGTTACTTGCACGATGTTGTCGCCGTATGGTAGCAGTATGTCGGAGATAGTAGTTAATTAGACATAAAGAGTTACTGTGCATTACAACCTAGGAGTGACTGTTTTCCCCCGGCATAACGCTGCTTGCACCGGCGTATCATTTCTATACGCGCTTATGCCGTTTAAACGCATTTTATTACATTGTGTTTAAAATAGTAGTAAGTATAGATGTTTTCTTTTCATGACCCAATAAGAATATTTATCTAAATTATGGTTTCATTATATATATATATTTTTTTCTTTAGATATGTTCGTGCTGAATACTTTCTTAGCATTTCAAAAAGATGGTTGGACAGTAGCACTAAGTCCAAAAATTTGTTATTGTCTAGAGGAGTTAATTACTCATGCAAACGTTGAATGTATTATAGTTTTATTGAAAACAATGTCTAAAAATTGGAATGGAGTAATTAATAGCAAATTTGCATATCATGTACTTCATAAAGCTTTACTTAAATGTCAAGCAATGGAGTATCATACTGATGAATTGATTCTTGATTATGTACAAAGCTTTTGTGCTCATATGAAAGAAAATCTGTCAATTTATATAGAACAACAACATGCAACGCATACTTGTCGTATTTATCCACAAATTTTAGCCGGAGTTTTATTAGAAAAGGATCAGATATCAAGTATACTTATCCTTAATAATATCACTTTTCAAAGATACTTATAAGTCTACAATTCAACTTGTTACTCCGTACGATGAGAATCATGTTGTAACACTTACAGATTTATGCAAGAAATTCCTTTTTAAAAAAGCACTAAAAGGTAGGTTATTCAACACAATCTGTACACCCTTTAATCTATATACTATTTAGATTATGTGAAAAATGAGAATCTCTGTCCTTTTATACAAGTATTATTGCTTGTTGCATCTGCTCGTCTTAGTGATAAATTCATTGAAAAATTTAAAAAAATTATGAAATACTCGGGATTATTTTCTTCTAATACTCAGGGAGGTGATTTAGACGAAAGGTTGGTTCATTTAATGGGTATTTGTTTTTTCTTATATTAATTATAATGTAATGATGATTGAATTCAGGAAGTAGCCTCTTTCACCTATCTAGGCAGCATCATTTCAACTGCAGGCGGCACAGACGAGGACGTCAAAGTCAGAATCGGAAAGACAGCAAGACAGGCGTTCATTAGCCTGAAACCAATGTGGAGATCTTCTGCACTCAACATGTGGAACAAGATCCGGATTTTCAACATCAATATCAAGTCAGTGCTTCTGTATGGCTCAGAGACTTAGCGCGTTATGAAAGGGATTTCCAATAAACTACAGACATTCATCAACTGCCTACACTGGCTCGATACTGAAGATGAGATGGCCAGAAATAATAAGCAACAAGGAACTCTGGAAACGAACCAACCAAGAACCCATCGCCCAACAAATATGCAGAAAGAAGTGGAGATGGATTGGATTGAGCATACACTGAGAAGGCCAACTGGGGACATCACGCGTCAGGCCAGTCGCTCTAGTGGAACCCAGATGGGAAGCAACGAGTTGGGCGTCCGAGGTGAGGGTGACATGGAGGAGATCGTGCGAGGAAGAAATGAGAGCTTGTGGGCTGTCGTGGTTCAAAAGATTTCAGAGAACAGAGTGGAATGGAGACGTGCTACTGTAGCCCTATGTTCCATTAGGAACCCAAGGGACAAATAATAATAATAAATGATTGAATTCAACTCACTGTTAGTGAATCAGTTACATATGTAAGTTCGCGATACTGCCTAACTGTTCAAACCTTATGATAAGGTAGATTAATTAGTGACGATATAACTCTTCTCAGTTAATCTAATCAACTACTCATGAGAACTGACTAGTCAAAAGTAACTTTGTGTGATATTCACTTTGCGTTTGCTATGGATGAAATGTTTATGTATATTCAAAAGATGATCAACTATACCATTTCGATTGTTACTCGAACAGTTAATCAGTTCGTTTGAAATGTTATACAGTGAAGGAATAGTATCATTTAGTGGATAACGTTTAGGACACAATTTATTGTGCATATTTGTATTCATATTCATACCTGATATGAATATAGACAATAAATTGTATCCTAAACGTTATCTACTAAATGATACTGTCCCTTCACTGTATAACATTTCTAATAAATAGACTAAAATGGAATTACAATCGACCGCAGTGTTCAAGTTTTACTCTTATATTAATCAGTTTAGATAGACAAGAAATCAGCTCATAGTCTATTTACCTACTAACTTACCCTTATAAGTTGGTTAATTTGACAAGCACTTTTAAGACCTATACAGACAGATGAAATCAATGTAAAACTTTATCGGTTCAAACTGCCATTCTTCACAGCAGCATGTAAAAAAGTAGATAGAAAACTAGTGATATTAAAGTAGAGAAAAGTGTGTGCGAAGAGAAGGAATTTAAAGATGAAGATTGGTATAAACATTCAAATTTTGGATGTAGTCAGAGAGTGAATAAATCTGCTTCAAACTTGATAGGATTAATCAATTTGTCATATGATTTACTTTCAACTCATCGGGAACATCAAACACCAAAGGAACTGCCATGAGCTCACCAATATTTAGCTTGATCGTTGAAAGAGTGATGCAGAGATTAGAATCAACGGTCATTTCAATAAACAAATAGAAATTTTGGGTTTGTTTCGTTGACGGCACTTTCGTAATTCTCATAACAAGTGGATTTGGAAAACGTGCACATTTTCACCAAACAAGCCTTTAAAAGTATTTAATCCACAAAAGCAGGAAGTAACAAAATAGCGTTCCCCGACATTCTTGTCAGTATAACATGATGAAACCATTACAGACTTAATTGAACAGGAGAGTGACACACACAGATCAAGTTTTGAACTGCAATTGTAACTACTCAACATCTTACAAGAAGAGTTGTTTACAAACACTGTTTGCACGTGCGACGACTCACTGAAGCACTCAACAGCTACGAGTCAGAAGAAAACCACCTCTTCAAAGCGTTCACAACTGATGAATGACCAACCAACTTCATCAATAAATACCTATCAACAGAGCACACATCAAGACAATTACGTCAACCTACAAAATGAATCACTCTACCGTATATCAAGGATGCCTAAGAAACTGTCAACCGATTACTTCATCTATTCGGCGCAAGCATAGTACACAAACCAGTCAAAACCCTGCAGAATACTCTATGCAAGTAAAGACAAGAATATAATCTACAAAATTGGTTACGAAGACTCCCAATGTCACTAGGTTGGACAATCGAGTCGTCAAATAACCCAAAGAACTTATGAACATCAACTTGTAGATAAACATGACATATCATCATTGATATCGATACATGTAGACCAGAACAATCACACATTCCAGTGAGACAACATGGAAATACTATAACAAGCAAGTTCAGAAATCCCAAGAAAATTTCTGGGAGCATGGTACTCTAATCAAGTGGCAATCAACAGACACTTAGATATTGACCCAATATGCAGACTTCTCAGAAGGGGTCAGTCAACTAGAAATCAGTCAAGCAAACCAACTACATAGGTCAAATGATAAAAACAGTTATAAAGGTCAACTCCTGATAAAAACGAAGGGAAAGTTGCCCCTACCCACAAACTAGTAGCGCTCATGAACATTGATGCAACTTGCAAACGCTTCGCTCCTTGATGAAGTTGCTTGGCTTGGTGACAAAACGTCCGAGAAGAAACACCATAGCTTGAGGAAAATCAAGCAATTATGATCCACATTCTGAGCCACAAATCTCTTCTACTACCACTACTTTAACATGTAGAGGATTTTTAATATTTTTGTATCCTATTTCAAATAATTCTGGTGTCGATTTTATGTGCTGGGAATATTCAGTTGGAATTCCATCAGTAATTTGGTAAGGTGACACCACTGTGGAACGCAGCCGTCTGGAACTTTTTTTTGTTTACTCATTGGATGTCGCTTTACATACTATTCGCTTATAATAGTATGTGGGTGCCGCTTTTATTCCTTGTAAGCGTGAATCGAAGATTGTAATGCTTGTTAAGAATTTTAACTGTCACATGAATCTCACTTTTACGGTGGAACCTTCAGTAAATGATGCCTCTTTTTACTAAAAGCTGCTAATTGGTAAGTCGAACAAAACGTCCATTCACTGAAAGCCATAATGGACAAGACTGTCCTGTACTTCAAAAGCCTTGTTTCACTCCGACGTTTAAGGAGCCTACTTGGAGGGTTATCTTCGTCTTCTTTCCAGTGTTTCCGGAGTATGATATTTCCTCTTTCCAGATCTTATTAGAAATGTTTTTCAGTACTTGATTTTTTCTCGTTACCATACATACTTTTATGAAAGCTATTTCGGTCTGTTTGGTATCATCTTCACCATAACTGGTGATAATCCGTCAGCTGCTTTTTTCCCACAAATTCGTAACAGTGTAGTGGGCGTTGCTTATAAGAATGAATATAAATAGTATATGTTGGGAGGGTGGCATAAATCATAGGGAATTACCAGCAATAGGTAAGGATTCCGCCGAGAAAAACGCAAGAGACAAGGCAGGCGTATGAAGAACAAATCAAGAAGGAAGCAGAAGAGGAAATGAATCATATTTCTCAAATGATGGTTTTAGTGCAAAGTGTACCATATTTAACGACTACTGTCCCACTTGTTGACAATAAACATTCCTTCCTGCATACCTGTCTTTTGCTTCTTGCAACAGTACAACAGTAAGGAATAGATGTCCCTTCTGAATGTATTAGGTTTTGTTAAAATGCACTTGATTTATTGTTATTATTATTTGTCCCTTGGGTTCCTAGTGGAACATAGGGCTTCAGTAGCACGTCTCCATTTCAATCTCTTCTCTGCAGTCTTTTCAACCTGGCTCCACGACTGCCCATAACCTTTCATTTCTTCCTCAAACGATCTCCATATCATCCTTAGACGCCCAACTCGTCGTTTCCCATTTGGGTTCCACTCATGGGCCTGGCTTGGTGCATGATGTCCTAAAACGGTCTCAGTGTATGCCCAATCCAATCCATCTCCACTTCTGCATATTTGTTGGGCGATATGTTGTGGTTTGGTTGGTTCGTTGTCAGGCTAGAGATCCTTGTTAATTATTCTTTCTGGCCATCTGATCTGATTTTGAGTATCGAGTGAGCGAGCGTAGTCGGCAGCTGCTGCTGACATCGGGCGATTGGCTTCCTGAAGGCTTTCACCAACCGGCGTCATTTCGTCTTTCCGATTCCAGCGAGGAATAAGTTTATTTTTATTTATGGTATTTTCTTCGTGCTTTGAAATTTTTTTAGCGACCGGACTGGTTTTCCGGGTAGGGTTGCTAGCCCTATGCGCACAACCTTCCATGTTTATCTGGGCTTAAGACCGGCTAGTAACTACTGAACTAGTTAACTAGGCGAGGTTACTTGATTTACTAAATCATATTTAAGTAATTCATGAAGCTCAAATTGGCACAGACGTATGTATGTACCAGCCGCACTTTTTGCATGATGGGTTTCGATGCAACTCAGGCGTGCAGGCTGGATTCGCCGAGGGCAGGGTTGGAACCCGCAATCCATTGGTTGAAAGTCCAGTTGCTAAGCAAGTGAGCCACACCACCAACTCATATTTACTTAAATCTATTACACCAAGTGATAGTTCATATTTTTAACAGTTGGAAAGATTATGACAACAAAAAACATGTATCCAACGTAATGCTAGTTCTATAAACAACTATGCACAACTAAACTCTATCGGTTTTCAAATCAAATTATTGGTGATTTATTGTCATGATGTCTATCCTTTTTAACATAGAGTTTTATCTTAGAATAATTTTTTATATCATTTTAATGGTTATTATTTGGTTCACCTATCTTATCAGTATGCTTAAACAACAATTTTCTTATCGATGATGGTTCACTGTTCTCTGAACTTTGTTATTTTTGTCGTGGATGTTTCATCACCAGGCTTGGTGATATCTTTAGCAATAACTTTGTAAAGACTCGAAAGCATATTCAAATTTCACTATGAATGTTTACGTAACGTCCTAACTAATTTTGAGTGTTATCCAATTGAAAGTTGGAGAAGAGATTTTTATCACACGGTGACCACTTTGACCTTACATTTCACTCAGTTACACTGATAGAGAATCCCTCTTAGAGTAGAATTGTACTATTTGTTACTATCACTCTGTGCTTTAGTATTGATTTCGTTGGTCAGTTTGCATTTTTAGTTGATAGATGCATGTTTTTCTAATTATCTTATAGATTAGGTGTATATTCATGTATCTGTTGATTGAATTTTCGTTGAAATGTTGTTCTTCTAAAAGATTCTCTGGCAGCCTTTTTTTCATCTGCTCTTTGAAGGATTTCCACACTCTCCCAGTGAAATTTGTGATCATGATTGTTTGTTTGCATTGAAACTAAGGAAGTTGCATTTTGTCGGTTTACTGCTAGTCGGTGTCCATGAATGCTTCGAACAATCCTAAGGCTAAACTGGCTAACATAGTGTTGCGAACAATCTTCACAGTTAGTTTTTAGATTATATTTGTCCTATATTCTTTTGGCTTGCACAACATACTATGCAGTGATTTCGCTTGTTTGTGTGCTACTCCACTCTTGGACGGGGGAAACAATCGGTTGACGGTTTCTGAGATATCCTTGATGTAGGGTAGAGTAACGTGTTTATTAATTCGAGGCATTTGCACTATTCTGTGTTCTACTGATAAACACATTTTGATAAAGTTGTGTATGTAGTTATTGGTTCTGAACAATTCGTATAGTACAAAGTATACTGAAGGTCGGTAAAGACAGAACCTTAATATTCGTGTGTGATTCCAGTATGCTTCACTTCTTTATGAAATTAATGCTAAGGATATCACCAAGTCTAATGATGAAATGTCTACGACAAAATATAACAGCTCAGTGAACACCGAACTACCATCATCCTCGCCCTGAACTGCAATTCATTTCAACTTTTTTTTAAAAATTGTTATCACACTTTTCCATAATATAGATATCTAAGTGCCTATACTCATCCAGTTGTTACATACTTTGCTGAACTTATGGTGGAAGTTATGCCGGGAGCTTATTTTGCTGACTTCTTAAACGATTACATCTTATTAAAATGCTCTAAATCTTCAGATGGCGTAGATTCTATATCATTAGCTGATCTTTTCATGTCACATTCAACTGCTAGTCGTGTTTTACGTGCAGTTATCCGACGTCTAACCAAACCGATTGATATTCAAAATTTTTTACGAGTTATCCAGTCTTGCAAAGATAATAATTATGGACTATGTGGTGCTCTTTCCAATGGACAATATAATGTATTAACTGAACTGGCCGATTTATGCATTAGACATCCATCTGAAGAATTTCAACGTACATTCTTACGGGTAAACGTTTCCTTCTTTTATTTTGGCATAACATCGCTTATATTATATGAAATCTTCACACTTTTGACTGCTCTATGAATCGTTAGTAATATATGAAAATCAGGATACTTATTTGTTAAGTTTGTGTTGATGATATTGTTTAGAATGATTATGAAAACTTCATGATTAAGCGATCCAGCTCAGATGACATAACACCATCAGAATACTGTGTATTCCTTCTACATTTTCAAACATTATAGCATGAATGGAGTACCATTTTAACTATCTGAAATAGCTGTGGTTTTGCAGACTAGTATTGATACTGAGGGATGATTGAAGGTGAAAAGAAAATGTAAACCGAGGTCGGATTCGAACCAGTGACCACCGGACCTCGTAACTCAGTTGTCAGAGCATCGGGTTGAAAACCCCGGTGATCGCTGGTTCGACTCCGACCGCGGTCCAAATTTTCATTTCACATTCAATCATCACCCAGTACCACTAATAAAGTAGTCAATTTCGCCATGCATCGACTGAATATCCATCATCTTGCCAGAAAGTTATTATTATTTTGGTATGTACAATGTGGATTCGAGATGGTTTTCGTTCACAAAGATTTCTAACTCTTTATTGAACATGCATAGAATCATGCAATAAGTAGCTGAGTCATATTAATTTTTAATCCCTCGATGACTTATAATTGATACTGGGTGAGGATTGAAAGTGAAATGAAAATCTAGACCCGTTACAGGATTGGAATCAGAAAGCACTGTGTTATCAACCCATTGATCTACTAACTGGGCTACGAAACTTACTAATGAGCAGATCTTAGTTTCACTTGAATCATCTAAGGTTTTGTCCGACTACCATGTGAATTGATAATGCGTGTTATCATCCGTTCAATCGAATCCTGCCGCGACCTAGATTTTCATTTCATCTTCAATCATCACCTTCGTAGTATAGGCCGTATTCCATGGTGTCACCACGTGAGTAACACAGAAGTCAGGTGTAGAGTTATAAAGAGAAGAGACGAGATAGTTGACACAGTTGTAAACCTTCATCGACTGAGATGGCTGGGACATGTGTTATATATGCCTAGTCGCCGTCTGCTTCGTCACACAATGTTGGCTGAAGTAGTTCCAGACTGGAAGAAGGCTCGAGGTGACCAGACTGAAAGATGACAGCAATGTGTGAAGTGTTTGACTGTTGGTTTGAGCCATGTGGGTCGATGGAGACTAGGTGGTTGGGGTCTGTGGGACAAGAGGAACCAATGGTTGGAGAGTCTAGGCGATCGTGTGACTGAGAACCGATGTGAGTGGTTCAGATGTATACACACATTATCCTCATCTTAATGATGCTATCCCGAATCTCACCATTTTCTCATTCTTCGTTTCTCTCTCTTTTCATACTTTATATTTCTTCTGACTGAATTTTCTTTTCTTCATTTTCCACTTTGTTGCCGTTTTACTTGATGTACTGATATGATGTGTGTGGACTTGGACCGTTACGCAGTAATGCCTGGTCCTATGTTGATTTGGATGCGTGGATGGACAGTCATCACCTAGGGTTATCATTTTATTAAAAGATGTATGGGAACACTTATTTGGATGGTGCTTTCCTACTGCTGTCAATACTCTTATGTTAGAAACATTGTCTTCTAACTTTTTTTAAAAGGGTATCTGCTATTATTATGTTTCTTTTAAATGGATCAGTAAAAAAATTTTGTTGTATAATAAATAGGTGAGTAAAGTAGTCCATCTCCAACCGGTACAGGTGTTTTTGTAATAATCTGTGAGTTATACTTGAAATATGAGGGTTTGTGATACCACTCAATTACTCAGATCGAAGTAAATGAGGTAAGGTTTGAACCGTGGACCCAATGCTCGGTCTTGGATTAGTTTTTTCCTGATATGAAGATTAAAAGCTCCAAGTTTCTGTCGTGAACGAGTTTCATTTGAACACGTTTCTCCAGTTTTTTGTTTGTTATTAATATAGCTTAAAATAATGTTTTTCTAATGTCTAAACGAATTCATCAACTTAGTGAGAGCGAAGATGAAGATAATCTGAACCATGTGATGTATTGTGGACACCATAAATGTTAAACAATCTGATAGTAACATAAATTCCCAAATTACGTTGATTAGTCTACCGAGGGTAAAGAATACCATCTTGTTGATCAAACTGTATCGACCAAGTTTACAATTTGGTCACCAAAGTTGGCTATTCGCCATTGTGATGAACTTAGATTGATGTTACTTAGGTGTTTGAAGTAAATCGAGATCTTTAGGGGGTGTCAATTTCTTCGGGGTTACCAATGAGAAAGAGAAGTAAAAACAATAAAACTAGTGCTCATTAATGACTTGCTTCGAGATGAAATCCCCGAAGTTCTAATGCTAAGTCATGACTGGTAGGGAGACAGTTACTCAACGTCGACATTGAATGGAGGTTGAGCTATATCGTGAACTGGCAGAAGTGAAAAGTGTGAACCACTGACTTTTTGATCCCATGGCTGAATGACGATATGCTGGCTGTGGAACCTGAAGGTCCTGGGTTCGACCCCTGGTGGGGTCATGGATGTACACTGCTGAGGAGTCCTACACTAGGATGAAACAGCTATCCAGTGCTCCCAGGTTTCCAATGGTTCCTCAACTGATGTCAGTCCGTGATGAATACTACCTCAAAATTAAAATCCCCATTCATCTCGAACATACATTACTGTATGGTGGTCATTAGTGACATACTTCCAGATGGATATTCTGAAGTCATGATGAGAAGCCATGACCTGTGGGGTCGACCAGTCGGAAGGCAAGCGGATGCCAACAGAAGGCCTTGCGTGATAGTCGTCCTATATTGTGAATTGACAGAAGTTGTAAACTGTGAATCATTGAACTCCAGCTCAGTGGCTGAATGGTTAACGCGTTCGCCGTGAGGCCTAACTATATCTTGAGTGCGTACTGCTCAGGAGTCTCATACTAGAGCGAGACAGCTGTTCAGTGTTCCCAGGTTATCAATGTTTCTCTAACTGATGTCAGTCCGTGATGAATACTACCTCCATAAAATATTTACTTATTTATAAGCTAGAAACGTGGACACAAGGCTTTCTTTCAGTCTCTTCTAGACGCCTAAAATCAACTTTGTTTTCTTTATGACAAGAATAATCTCATATGATATGTTTGTTCTCTCTTTTCGTTTTATTAGATCTGTATATTATTTGATTGCTTTGCGTGTTACGTGTTATATCAGTTGTGTTTTGATTGTTGTCTTTTTTTGCTACACATTTCGCTCAACCACCATAGGTGTTACCTAAAGTCTTTGGATTTTCAGAAAAGCATATTCCATCTTCAGGTCGAGAAGATCTATTCATTCGTTGTCTTATTGGAATGACTTCTGTTGGGGCGTTGAATGATTACTTGCAAAAGAATTCAATTAAGCAAGAAACAGTTCAAGGTGAGGAGAATGACAATGACACTACAAGTGAAGAAGATTTAATCAATCCAGTCACACTACCAGGATGTTTGTTTGTTCAGACTTTATTGAAATTCACGTATGCTTATCCTACTAGAATTGTCACCAGTTTGTTAACTCAATCATCTAAACGTCTAATTGAATGGGCTAAACATACTCAACTATCAAGAGTTTTAGAAGCAACGATTTTATCGGATTCTGTAGCTAGTGAACGCAAAATTGGACTGCTTAAAGCCCTAATGGTTAGTTGATATCTTGTATACCATTGTACTTTATTTTTGAACATGGAATCAAGTATCAAATGATTTCGCTAACAGGATTACTCACTTTGTAGTTGGATCTTACGTTTCTATTATTTTGTAGAGTTGGCAAGCTCTAGCTTTCGGAAACAAATCTATTAAATATGTATCTGTAAGGTGTTATATTTTTGCCTGGTTGGAATTGTCTTAAATCGATTCAGTCTTAAAACTGACCTTGCACATGGTTATTCTCGAATACACTCGACCAGTTTCTTATATTCAACCCACTTACACGATGAGTCACACAATTCAGACCTTCAAACCGTTTACAAAAGAACACAGTCTGGCTTTTACTTTCCATATATTTCAGACGATCTCATTCTTCGGTATATGTGTAACTGAATTACTTAACCACAACGCACTATAGTTCATGCAAATAAAATAACCTATTTCAAGCTCGAAAAACTGAGATAATGCTCAATAGTGGAACGGTTTCACTTAACAGCCAGTTATTTCCAAACCATAAGTCATAGAGAAATAGATAAGGAGTCAGTCGAAAGCTCTTGAGTTGAGCTATGCAATAACGCTAGAAATTAAATCATAAGTAGAATGAATTTTAAAATAAATAAAATAATACAACCATTGATACGTATCTGAGATTCAAGTTTTCCACTTTTCGGCTGATATAACAAGACATCACATTTTTTATAACTAAGTCACTTTCTGTTTCTCAGAATGCATGTGACAAATACCTTCAGGATTTATTTATTCCACTCAAAATCTCTGAAGGAAGCATTTCATCTCATTTTGCCATAATTTCATTTCATTTAAAGCAAATTGTGCTGCTTTTGAGTAATTCATTAACGACACACATAAACATTCATGAAACAAAAAAATGGGAATAGTGAAAGCATATCTCAGATTTAGATTCACCAATGCTTTCGTCGCTACTTTATTATTTACAATTTTAGACTTGGTATGACTTATAAAACTGTATTTAGTATTGTAGCATGTAAGATTAGAGATGACGCATCAGAAACCTTAAGACCACTGATCTCCATACAAATGCTGTCAATGCCTAGTATCCCTTGTCTCTACAATTCAGCACTATTTTACCACTATTAAACAGTGTTTTTTGATGTTGGCTAGCAGCGAAATCCAGGATACATGCTTCATTCTGTTTGGAACTCATCAACTGGTTCCCAGTGGATGATGGTGTTCCCACGGAGACTTGAATCGTTTCAAATGCCAAAGCATTATTCACTAGGCTATTGCATGTTGTTTGTCACCTGTTACTTATCAAACTATAGAGCAATTCATAATTTATCTAATTACACTTTGAAATTTTAGAATCGCTTAAGTTTTTGTTTTACAGATAGTAATAAATTCTTTGCATTGTTGTATGCTTTAGAGTATTCATGGTGTTAGTAAATGCAGTAGATACACTCAGTTGGTTGTCGTTTACAAAGCTGTAGACATCTTTTTTAAATTAGTCAATATTGGAATGATACATATACAGAAGAATGATATGATGGTGAACAGAAAGATAATAAGATGGCAGGAGTGGCCTTTATTTTGCTGAAGGCCAAGGTAGAAGTAACACGTGGACATGTTCTTTCTGAATACAGAGTTCAGACTTGGTAAATCTTATTGCGACAGCCTCCGCTATGTTGAGCAGGCGTTGGCGAGCTTCATGTAGTGTCATTTTTGGAACACGATGAATGACATTGTAAGCTTTATTAGCATCTATGTGATGCCTTGTGTCGACTAGATGCGCTGGGATTGAACTCTTCACCACAGTCACTTCGCCTTTTCCAAACCAAACTGGTAAATGCTGTCTTATCCGGAGACGCACCTGCCTAATCGTACACCCTATGTAACTAGTTCCACAGGAACAGTTAAATTGATACATGTAAGATGAAGAGCTAAGATTAGGTAGGCTTATCGTTTAGTCTCGGATTGAGCATTGACCGACTACTGAATGATATACAAAGCTGACCAGCATAAAACGTCTTATTGACTGATCTAGCTAAGCATTGTGATAGAATGTCACTTGCAGCATATACCTTGAATTGTGAGCGCAGAAACAAAGGCTTCTTCGCCGTTGTCATCAGTTCTCGTTTACCACCAAGGTAGTTGCTGTTAGCTTTGATGAACTTGTCAGGATATCTGTTTTCGCTTAGAATATCACGAATGCACAGTAGTTCTTTTTCCATATATTCCTTGGAAGAAGTCGATCTTACGCTAAAAGCTAGGCACCCGATTACTTTACGCTTGTACTTCATCGGTACGAAGCTGAGAAAGTGCTTATACTGTACCTTAAACGTTAGTTTTCTATATATACTTCTCAGTATAGAGCCATCTTGGTTTCTTGTCATTAGCACATCAAGAAAATGTATCGACTCATTGATTTCATTTTCGTATGTAGAACCAATTGGTGGGTGAGCGCTGCTGAAATAGTTCAGAATAGAATTAATAACTATGCATTTATCAAAGATTAAAAATGTACCATCCATGTATTGACAGTACAACTCCGTATTAACAATTTGATCTTTCAAAGGATCGTTTTCCAATTTCACCAAAAATATGTCTGCAAATATTGGTGCGAATAGGGATACCATAGCCACTCCGTCAACTTGTCTGTACAAATTATTGTTGAAGACGAACTGGACATTCATTGTACATTTTATCAATAGTTCTTTCAAATTCATAAACGAAATGCCAGTTTCTAATTTCCTTTCCAATAGTTGTTCACAAATGTAATCGACGGTTTCCATTTAGGGGTCCCATGGATTTGTTTAAAACATTCAAGTTTTTTATTTTATCTACAAACTGGAAGGTGTCTTTCACGTTGGTCACAATGATTGAATTAATCGTACTAGCCATTTGGCGATAGTATGGTAAGGGTAGTTGGTCATGTCTAGGGTCGAGGAAAGAAATATTTTTGTTAGACTATTCATCTGTGGAAGAGTAAACATAGTCTTAAAGTGTAGTTGATGATTAGAACTGTTTAATAATTCACTTTTGATCCGATTGAGATTTAAACAAATCATTGAGAAAGTTTGCGCTGATGATGTTGTGTAGAATGACAATGAAAGCTTCGTGATTTAACCATCCAACTCAGAGAGCCTAGCACCATCAAAAAGGAATTAAATCGCCTAATTCAATGTATACTATTTACATGTAACAGTACTTTTTTGGTATCTAACTGGATAACGAACTACTGAGTAGTTCGAGTGTAAGCGTAGTTTGTTTAACCAAATCAAATCAAGCATATTTGCGAAGTGCATTTTGACAAGATAACAACTATAAGCTTTTGGTCAAGTAGTAGAGAGTTAATCGTGAATAATATAAAGTTTACTAGACAGTCTTGGACTTCGTACCAACAGTATCAAAGAACAGTGGGAATGTAGCACTTCTATTCACTTCTATAAATTCTATAGTTGATTGGCTGAATACGTAACTATTGAGACTATCTGCCATTATCGTAATTTGACAGACCGGTCTTATTGTTACTAGGTGATGAGTAAAAGCGAAAGATCGTGGATCGTGGCAGGATTTGAACTAGTGGCCTCCGGGTTATCTATCCAGTGTTCTGCTATTTGAGCTTTGGTGGAGCTATGGCTCAATGGTTTATAGAGATGGCTTACGTGGGTACGAGCTCCGCTGCACCTACCGAGGTTTGGGCAACCATGCCTACTGCACGGATGCGTTCAAGGTAGATGGGTAAGTTTTCGTTATATGAGCCTTGGGAAGCAGTTAGTAGATCTCAGAGTTGGTAATCCGGAGGCGGTTGTTTAGAATTCTGCCATGGCTGAAGTTCTCATTTCACATTCAATCATCATCACCCAGGATCACCAATTAATGTAAATCAGTATGGTGCACTTTTATGTCTTAGGCTGTGATTCACAGTTACTGTTTAAATCCCTCTATGATACCATTCAGTTACTCAGGCTATACTATATGTGGAGAAACGTATAGACCTGGGATCCGTTGCTTATACGGCGATTGCATAAGCCAGTGAGCGGTATTTTCACAAACTGTAAACTCTACCAATCCGTATCAGTTCACTTGTCAGTGAGTTGTATGTATTTTTTCCTTTCTTTAGAATGGTTCCTCTATTCTAGCATATGATGTTAATGGAAGTTATGTTATAGAAGCTTTATGGACAGCTACAAATTCACTACCTCAACCAATAATTTATAAGGAATTAATGGCGGAACAGCTAAATACCTTCGCTAGTCATCTACATTCACATAGATACGGTCATTTTGTCTACAAGAAATTGTCATTGGAACTTTATAAAACTAATAAAACCCTCTGGTTGAGTCGTAACGCACCTGATCGATTACTTAAGAAACGATCATCGCTTGAAAATGGTCAAAGAAAAGATGGTATGTTTTGTTCTTAGGTTGCATCACTTTTTACTGTATGTTAAATGGTTTAATTTGCCTCACTTTGAATAACTAATACGGGGAAGTTAGGTTTATCTCCATTCAATACATTTGAAGTAGGTATCAGTGCGACAATCATTATAATGTTGTGTTATTTATTGTATGGAAAGTAAAGAATAATTGATGTCTATTGTGTATGATGTAGGAAATGAGGAATTGGATTGAAGCAAGATTTGAAACGGTAACCTTTGGAGTTCTTTCTATCCAATGAGTTATAAGATACAATCACTCACGTCAGTCACTGTTGTCTGTTCGCTTGTCATGTGAATGACTCGTAAGTGAGTGTCCGTTCATTGGATCTTCTCAATTTCAATGGAACTAAAGTAGAGACGGGGAGAGAGGGAGGGAATAACTAACGGATTAACTTCGTTCATATAGTTTTTCCCACTTGTTAAACTTGAACAATGCAAAAACAATTGCAGCAGGATAAAACGAGCGTATTTAAAAAAAAATTATTTCGAGGATTATTCACAACTCCAACCATCCAGATCAACATAGGACCATGCATTACTGCGTAACGGTCCAAGTCCACACACATATCAGTACATCATGTAAAAAGCAGTGAGGTAGAAGATAAAGAAAATTCAGTCAAGAGAAATATAAAGTACGAGAAGAGAGAGAGGGGAAGAATTAGAAAACGGTGAGATTCGGTATAGCGTGATTAAAATGAGGATAATGTGTGTATACATCTGAACCACTCACATCGGTTCTCAGCCATATCACCTCAAGTCAGTCTCCAACCACTGGTTCCTCTCTTGTCCCATCGACCCCAACCACCTAGTCTGCTTCGCCCCACATGGCTCAAACCAACAGTCAAACACTTCATACATTGATGTGATGTTTTAGTCTGGTCACCTCGGGACGTTTTGCAGTTTGAAAATACTTCAGCCAACATTGTGTGACGAGGCAGACGGCGACTAGGCATACGTAACACGTGTTCCAGACATGTCAGTCGATGAAGGTTCACAACTGTGTCAACTATCTCATCTCTTCTCCTTATAACTCTACACCTGACTTCTGTGTTACTCACGTGGTGACACCATGGAATACAGCGTATACTATGGAGGCAACGATGATCAAACTGCTGAAGCCCTCTCACTTCTTCCACCTTGAATGGCCATGTTTCACATGCATAGAGTAGAAGAGAGCGGACTGCTGAGTATTACACGTGACCCTTACTAGACAGTGTGATATTGACACAGCTCTCTGGGTGGGGTAAGTTGGCAGAAGCCAGTTGAGCCTTTTGTATTCATAACAGAGATTTCGTCGGTCACTGAGCGATGTGTGCAGGACTGATCCCACTTCCGAGGTAAGTGAAGTGGTCAAGACACTCAATCACTACACTGTCTATTGTTAATCTAGGAGGGACCGTTGAAGATCAATCGTGGAGCAACAATTTGTATTTGGATGGTGAGAAACGCATCCCAAATATTCTAGAATTGCCACTCATTGTCAAGAAGATTATTCACAACTACTTGCAATCTGCATAATATCAATCAATTCCTGGAGATAAATATTAACACTCATACATTTCTCAACAATAGATAATTCTCTCCGAAAATTATCTTCTCAACACAGTTTTCGTGTAGACTTGAGTAAGACTTTAACCAACTTCTCTTTGTCTCTCACGAAATAGATTTTGCAATTCAACTAAAGTGTACTCCAAGTTTCTCCTCAATGAATGTATCGTTTCAGTGTACCATGTGTGTCACATCCAGTGAACAATGTGACTAATTGATATTGGACACTACATTATGGGCGATCTTAAATAGTTCATGAAATTAATTAGTAGGCAACATGAATGACTTTAAAAGTCACCATAGCAACGACTGAAATAACTCGATTTTCGTTTGTTTTATACAAAAACTACGTTTCTAGTCAAACTATAAAAATCTAATTGGTTATTTCAGTAGTTGCCAAGGTGACATTTAGAGTTCCACAGCAAAATAACTCAATTTATTACGTTCTGTTGGTGCGATTGGCATAAAGTATACAATTGTGAACCTTCTTTGTCCTGGAGATTATAGTTCACTAGTCATTCTTCCTCTAACATTCCTAACAATCTCTTCTACTTCAACTATTTACATTTCAATAGATGAGTCTGTCATTACCTTCTTGTCAACTTGATAAAAGTATACTCAAAATAATAATAGAAATGAGCTCTTATTATCCTGTAGAAGTGTGTTTCGTTGGCTTAGGCTCTCGACTATCAACCGATGGGTCACAGTTTTGAATCCCGCTCCAGCTACCAGTGTCTAGGTACTTTGGTAGTATCATTAGCCCTCATACGATAGGTGTAGACTGATTGCCTACTACACAAACATCCAAGTGGTTGTTGAGTGCATCTAGATTCGATTTTACTTTTATATCATCTTGCTAGTTTTTGTATTCTCGTGGTGTTCAAGTTGAATGATTATTAATGTGATTATCTGATGTTGTTTGGCACATTGATCATGTCAGTGGTACTATACTTCATAATCAGGAACAATGATCATTTAGATCTGACTGAATATCCATATCCATTATCTATTCGAAATACGATTTCATAACTAAAGCGGTCAGATGTTGAAGTACGCTGTAATATTGTTCCGTGTGAACTTTTGGAAAATACCCGAGCTTATGGTGTATTAAAGTGATTTTATAGATTACTTGTTATCTTGTAGCATGAACTTTTACCTCTCCTTAACCTGAATTGAGACCTTATGGCTGATTATAGTAATAAAGTTTTTTATCGATGTTTTGACACGGTATGCTGTAGGTCGTCAGACCAAGAAGTGGCACCGATCCCTGACTGTTGGTCTGAGCCGTGCTGGGAGATGTGTACTACCTGGGATGGTGCCCAAGATGGTAGGAAGCTATGGTTTAGAACTTTTAGTGACATTGCTGAAAATCAGTACCAGTAGTGCAGATGTATTCACTCTTTGATGTATTCTAAAGCTTGGGTATTTATACTAACCTTTATCTTCAAACTATTTATTTCTTCACACAACTTTGTCTACTTTAATATCAGTCTTTTTCTATCCACTTGTTCTTTGTATACTACTGTGAAGTGTGGCAACCTGAAGAAATGCACTTGTGTGTGTGGTTCTGTGTTGTTTGTCTGTCTGCAAGTGTACTGTTTTCTTCTATCTGTCTGGCTTTTTAACCTGACAAACGAACTATCCCGCTAACTGTTCATCTTTTCTTATCTGCTGACCATAACATTGACTCCATATCGTTATTGTCATTTGATTTGTCGCTTTACACCTTACACTGTTCACTTCTCAGTTTATAAGTACATATGATGAAGAGCTTTTCAACACGTATCAAGCTAATACAGATAATCAACAATCAGTCAGTCAGTCAATTGAATATCAACGTGGAACTTGGGATTACTGCTCAACGGTCCAATTTGCCACAGCTCGTATCAGCACATCAAGTTAGAAGACAACGATATCAAGGATAAAGGATGAATAAAATAAGTGATTAGAAGTAGTAGAAATGTATCAAAGGAAAGAGGATGAAGAGATGAAACAGTAACGAAATTCGGTATGAGAGTTAGCGTACACCACTGAGATCTATTCTGAGCTATATGAGGTTCAGTTTCCTATCACCAATTTCGGTTATCACATAAACCGCAACCTGGAAGTCTACACTTCATTACACGTCTCCGATAAACCGTTAGAGAATTCATGAACTGATAGTATATTTTAGCCTGGTCACTTCTAACTTTTTTCCAGTCTGAACCCAATTCAGTAGAGTAGACGATAACCGGGCTTGTGTAATACATGTTCCAGCGAATTGAGTCGTTAAAGATCTACAATCTTTGTTATCATTTGACCTTTACGTCATCAAGTAGCAACATTATAATTATAACCACTCATTATTATTGTTTCGACGCCCCATTATTATTAGATTAAACCAGTTTTATTTCTCCCCTTTATCTCAAATTATTCTTATGTAATTGGCGTCAACAACATCACTTGCCGTAATAATCGATTCTTCTATTCTGTTAATTACTATTATACAGATTATCAATTATGTAACAACCTGTTCAAACTCTCACTAATTTACTCCGTAATTAGTCTATGTCTTAACTACCGTTGTAATTTTCTGAATTAATTATTACGACCTTGACAACTCAATTGCTAATCTGTTATTAATTAACTTTACACCACCAGACTGGTATGTTATTGTGAATTTTGTGTAGCGCCGTCGACGAACAGCTGCACTTTCAGTATGCACACAATTCAGAACAATAAGTATTTAAGTGTACAATTGTTTTGAATAACTTCCTTTTCAGGGCTCTACACTCAATTCAGAATACTGTCCCAAAATATTGAAAAACCATTATTGTTATTAGTTGTCCCTTGGGTTCCTAGTGAAACATAGGGCTACAGTAGCACGTCTCCACTTCACTCTGTTCTCTGCAGTCTTCTTAACCTGGCTCCACGACTCCCCATAAGCTTTCACTTCTTTCTCACACGGTCTTCTCCATGTCACCCTCACCTCGGACGCCCAACTTGTTTCCCATTTGGGTTCCATTCGAGGGCCTGACATGTGATGCCCCCGAATGGTCTCAGTGTATGCCCAATCCATCTCCACTTTCTTCTTCTGCATATTTGTTGGGCGATACGTTCTTGGTCGGTTGGTTCATTGGCAGGCCAGAGTGAGTTCCTTGTTGCTTATTCTTATCATTCTGGCCATATGATCTTCAGTATCGAGTGAGCGAGTGTAAGCGGCAACTGTTAATCATGTATGTCTGTCGTTTGTCGGAAGTGGTTTTTGTAACGTGTCAAGTCACTGAACCATCATATAGAAGCACTGATTTGACTGACACTAGTGTTGAAAATCCGTATCTTGTTCTTTATACTGAGTGGAGTGGAGTAGATATCCACACTGATTTCAGATTCATGAAGGAAGACCTGTCTTGCTTTTCCGATCGTGGCTTTGACATACTCATGTGTGCCGCTGCCTGCAGTTGAAATGATGGTGCCTAGGTAGGTAGGTGAGAGAGACAACCTCCTTTAGATTTCTCCCGTTGATAGTGACTGGTGCTTGTTGTTGTTGGTTAGATATCTTCATCACCTGTGTCTTCTCTACGTTCATGTGAAAAAAGTCCCGTCATCACTGCCTCGCCTCTTCTGCCAACTAGTCGGTTTTGCCTGTAGATCTTCCAGTTTGTGCAACATTGGACATTAGACATAAATCATCATCGTTGTCGAAATCCAAATCTTCTGTTCGGTCCAGCCATCGTATGCCCATCTTTTCGCTCCTCACAGTTTTGTTGCATGATCCAGTCCAGTCAATCATAATCGGGAAGATCATGGGTGGATAGTAGGCGGCAACCTTGTCTTACTCCTGTCTTCACTTCAAATGCATCACTGAGCTTTCCATTGTGAACCAACTGGTATGTAGCATCATATGGCATACAGTTGCTGTTGAGTGAAGTTAATAAAGATTTGTGGCACTAAAGTCGTAGTGTTGAAGCAGCTGCCTGCCAAATTACTTCTCGGTCGATGCTATCGAAGTTCTTTTTCAAAGTCCTTCGATTATAAAGCCTGAATTTTGGGGAGCGAAACTAGTTGTATAAGCAACAAGTTGGATATATCATCAGCATTAAACGTCAGAGAAACCGTGTTCAGCAACTAATTTTTAAGAGTAGAAGGACGGTTAATTTTTTAGGTCGGAATGACTTGAATCCTTTAAAATGATTAATCAGAATAAGTGAACAGATGTTTTTTCTAACCTCCTGTTTAGGCTCTACAGTTGTAAATCTATGAGATTTGGTAAAATACAATAACCAATGTAAGGCATATAGTAAAATTATTTTAATACTGAAGCAATCAACTTTGAAGGTAAATGGCGATCAAATTAAATGGATATAATTTTTTATCAAGTGGAACATTAATCATCTTAGTTTGTTAGTTGTACAATGAAATTACTTTCGAACAGAGGAATCACTGCACAAATAAAACTAGACTAATTACTGTTTGGTCATATCCATTTATTTTGATCTCCATTTACCCATCACGATGATTGTTTCAATATTGAAATAATTTTACTGTATACCTTGTTCTATTGTATTTCAACACATTGAATATTCCCATTTAGACATTTAGAAAAAAACTGATGGAGCGAAGAAATATGTTTTTTTTCAATTAGGTCTTCGTCTTGGGCTCTACACTAACATATAGGTCTACAATTTAATCAAATTACCAATCACGTGGTGGTGTTTCGGAAATAAGGGTTTAAATAATCAATAGAGTTACTAAAATAGGAAATATGAATATTGATAGAAACAAGAAGGGGAAGAGGTGCACAAAATAAACCTAGAAGTTACATCATGTTGACGGCCACGGTAATGAAAGTGGTCGAACGAACTTCTTGATACAAAGGCTAGGTTTGTAAAGGTGGATTGCAATCGCCTCTGCTATGTGAAGTAACCGAGTGCGTAATCCATAAAGTAAATTAATTGTAATCTGATGGATGATTTTGAAGGCTTTTCCAGTAACCACTTGATGTTCTGTGTCAACTAAGTGTGCAAGTATGGAGCTCTTTATAGTTCTAATTTGTCCCTTGTTTAACCATGATTGGTGGTGCTCAGAAATTCGACGATGGAACTGCCTCATTGTACGCCCAATGTAACTCGCTCCACAGGGGCAGTTGAATTGATAAATGCACATAGAAGTGGCAGAATCAGGCAGTTTGTCCCAGGGATTTACAACTACGGAGCCAGAAGACAAATGTTGGCTGAAATTCTGCTTCCGATTAATCTATCGGGATTCTTACAATACATGGAATTACAGAATGCACAACTTAGAGGTCATCTTGTGTTTCTATACCAACTTATGGCTCTGATTGATATGTTTTTCATGTCGTTAGCATCTTTCCCTTCTATTTCCTATGTAGATGAAGTTTCAGTGTTGTTGTTTGTAGTCAGGTACATCCAGCTGACGAGTCCCAAATAGGACGAAACACGCTTGCTGGATTCCGCTACTAGCCACTATCCATCATCCATATATAAAGTTTCAGTTGGTAATCAGTAAATTTACAGGATTAATATTTTTATTCCTTGTAAAAAATAATTTGAAATTCTTGCGTAGTAACGGTGATGATAAATTTACACCGGTATGCTTCTATAAAAACATGAATGAAACTAACATTTTTCATTTTGTTTATTTGCAGGTTCAAAACGTGCTCGGGGTGCATTCAAGTAATAAACATGTAAAAAAGACTACTACTATTGTGTACATATACTACTTAAATAAAGCTTGTGCATGAGAATGTAAATTTCATCTCTTCCCTGTCCCGACTATCTGAATACCTTCTCCCATCGATTAGTTTTGTAATGTTGTCTTATCTGAAGGGTTAAGTCTTCTTCAAAAGAAGATGACACAAAAGTATAATTCAGTTTATTTCTGGCTAGATTTAACAAACAAAGCTGACATTTTGTTCGTTTTCGCCAAGATATTTCAACCAATGATAGCTGTTACTTGAGTCAACTGTCTCCATTAGCTGTGATATCATGAATGGTGGTTTTCTAGTGCATCGCAACGTCTAACTTTTCTTGACCGAGTGATACAGCGACAGTTGCTGACTTGATGTACTGGTTTGGCTTGCGTATCACCATAACCCAGAGGCCTGTATATTGTTACTTATATTATCCCATCATTAATTAGATCCGTCTCTATTGGCATACGTGCTCCTGCCCATGTTTCAGTTTGATACTAATGATGGATAGCGGCTAGGAGTTGGATCCAGGGCGCGCATTTCATCCTATTTGGGACTTATCAACTGGGATAATTGCTGCTGAGTGGGTGCTGTTGCTCCCACTAAGACTCGAACTCAGGACCCATTGCTTCAAATGCCAGAGCGTTATCGCCTAGGCCACCGAATCACAATAGCCACTTCTTGTGCCATAGGTATATTCTTTATGTTGTTACTAGGGGATTAACGCCTTGGTGTATGAAGCGATCCGTCCCAGGTTTGAATCCTAATGAGAACAATATCACTCACTGGGAGGGAGTTGCATCCGGCTGACGATTTTCAAAGAATACGAAACGCACGTCCTGGATTCCACTGCTAACCGCTATCCATCAATAACCCAGAGGTGTGTTGGATTGAACGAGCATGATGTCAGAAGGAGAGAGAGTAGTAAAGCAACTGTGTAAGATTCATCCGAGAGTCGCATAAAATCGAAAGACCGTCCAGTTTCCTCATTATGATAATTGGCGTCACTACATTCAATAATTATTAGTGCATACATTTGTACAGCAAACAACGTGTAATCCACAGTCAACAAACAGTGATTATGATGAGTTCACTATGGTTGGATGCCAAATCATCAATTCAACCAATCAGACAACAGCAAATGTCCAGACAGGAGAACCGCCAGTCAGAGGAAAGTAAAAAACTGTACACATAAACATAAATTACTCATCATCTATCAACATAGGACCATGCATTACTGCGTAACGTCTAAGTCCACACACTTCATATCAATACACCATGTAAAAAGCAGTGAGGTAGAAGATAAAGGAAATTCAGTCAGAAGAAATATAAAGTACGAGAAGAGAGAGGAAGAATGAGAAAATGGTGAGATTCGGTATAGCGTCATTAAGATGAGGATAGTGTGTGTATACATCTGAACCACTCACATCGGTTCTCAGCCATATCACCTCAAGTCAGTCTCCAACCACTGGTTCCTCTCTTGTCCCATCGACCCCAACCACCTAGTCTCCATCGACCCACATGGCTCAAACCAACAGTCAAACACTTCATACATTGATGCGATGTTTTAGTCTGGTCACCTCGAGACGTTTTCCAGTCTGGAACTACTTCAGCCAACATTGTGTGACGAGGCAGACGGCGACTAGGCATACGTAACACATGTCCCAGACATCTCAGTCGATGAAGGTTCACAACTGTGTCAACTATCTCGTCTCTTCTCCTTATAACTCTACACCTGACTTCTGTGTTACTCACGTGGTGACACCATGGAATACGGCGTATACTATGGAGGCAACGATGATCAAACTGCTGAAGCCCTCTCACGTCTTTCACCTTGAATGGCCATGTTTCACATGCATAGAGTAGAAGAGAGCGGACTGCTGAGTATTACACGTGACCCTTACTAGACAATGGGATATTGGCGCGGCTCCGTGGGTGGGGTAAGTTGGCAGAAGCCAGTTGAGCCTTTTGTATTCATAACAGAGATTTCGTCGGCCACTGAGCGATGTGTGCAGGACTGATCCCACTTCCGAGGTGAGTGAAGTGGTCAAGACACTCAATCACTACACTGTCTATTGTTAGTCTAGGAGGGACCGTTGAAGATCAATCGTGGAGCAACAATTTGTATTTGGGTGATGAGAAACGCATCCGAAACATTCTCAAGGTGTCCAGGAGACTGCGTCTAGTCATCGTCTTCACGCGACAGGAGTATGTCATCTTCGTCTAACGAAAATTTTCCTGCTATTAGGTCAGCTTCAGTTACTCATAAGTAATATAATCAATAACATGGGGAATGTTACAGGTATCAAGATGAAAATCTGTGGTTAGTGTCATCCTGCTAAATCGGTAAGTGTGTGGCCGTTAGGATGTCTACTCCCAAGTAGTTAGCATTTGATATAATTTCTCTTCTAATTCAGGGAAGGACTTATAAAAGGTTAGCTTTTAAAACAACATCCCTTGTTCCTCCTACCATTTCCTGTAACTGGCAATGGTAAACAGATGCAGCTTTATGAAAATCATTCTTTGAATATTGTTTTTGGCTTCGTCAAGCAGAAATATCTTGGGATGCACGGTCATGCAAAGTAATCTGCTCTTACAAGGAGTTAACTCCTGCAGTGTGAACAACAATTTCTACCACCTTCACGCCGTCAACAGCATTTCGATCCCTTGCAATAACCACCAATATTCTTCATAGCCTATGTCCCAACCAATCGCTGCTGCATTGATGTGGTGGTCGGGCTTGTATATCACAATGACCCAACGAGATATGTTGGTGAAATGCTTGAGATCGTACTATGTCAGAAAGACCTGTTGGATAGTGGTAAGATGAAAAGCAATTATTGTTGTAGTGTGAAGTGCTACACTATAATGGGGGTCCGAGGGTGAAGTTGTACTGTTGCTGGGTGGACGGGGTGTGACAGCAATAAGGTGTTTCCCTTGAATGACTATCAGTGGCATGCTGATTCTACCTTCTTTATGTGTAAGGGAGGTTAGAATAGCATACTCCCATCACCCCGTGAAACACAGATGCGTAGTCAGACACGAATACAAAAAACAGAAAGCTCAAACTTCTAAAAATGTCATGTGTGACCGGCCTCAATCAGATATCCCTTGACCTCCACGGTCATGCAGTAACCCTTCTTTTTCATGTACCTCAAGAAGAACCAGCGTCCCGCGGTGTAGGCAGCCGGGAAGTATGAATCCTCCTCATAAATGTTAGCCTTCAGATTCCCCAAGATCAATATCCACCTAATCTTCATTCACGTCTTAGTCAACAACCCTTCGTCATTAATTTTTTCCGACTCTCGGAAATGACCGGATTTCACAGAGCAGCGTCTTTGATTTCTGGGACTGAGGACAAAACTACACGTACCTTTCGATGTTCGCACCCTCCGTCAAATCAGCCAGCAAGTTTCACCTACCAAAACTAGCAACTCGGGTCGTGGATGTGTGCTGTGTTTGTGAGACATGCATACAGGACCCAGGCACGGTAGCTCACTTATTCTCACCCGATCATTATGAAGAGTCCGCGAAATTCACCCTTTGAGTTTCTGGAGATTTGCTGGCCACCTCTCGAGGTCTCGCAAGTGTAGGTATAGTACTGAATAAAAAGGCAGAAAGTGCACTGCCCAACTGGATCTCATTTGACAGTCGTCTATATGCTGATAGAATGAACAACACAGTGAGAGCTAGGAAGAGTACTGAAATTCACTGTGGTCTCTTCTTAATCTCTGCACCCACTAACTCCAGCTCAGATGAAGTGAATGGTAATTTCTACCGAAAACTGTCTAACCTCCTACTGAAAACCAAGAGCTCAGATGTGGTTGTCGTTGCGGGTGATTTCAATAGGCATGTGGGTGAGTTAAACCAGGCAAACAGGCTCTTTCGTAATCCTAACCGAGCGAACAGATTACGGAGATTGCCTACGACATCTGTGTTCAGGTAACCATTTATTTCTATCCAGCACAGACTTTAGACATAAAGAAGGACATTATCCGACCTGGTGTCCACCGAGCTCAACCCAGTGGTGGACACAGAAAGACTACATTGCTATCAGTCATCAGTAGAGAGGGTCGATGGGAAACGTGTTTGGACAACGACAGCTAACATAACAATACGAGACCACTCATCCGGAAGAAGCTTAGAACCGTCTCCAGTCTGCTGTCAAAACAGCGTTGAAGATCGTTGTTGATTCTCAGGTAGTGGTCGAAGAGATTCAGTTGATCTCAGCAGCTTCTGAATTAGTGGTTGTACGCGAACGTATCCCTGCAGGCTCGGAGCATAACGATGAGCGGAAGCAACTCAAATGTGGACTGATAAAAGGTCTACGCAGTGACCGCCAACAGCGGTAGGCGGTGAAGGCTAAAGAGATGGAAAAGGCAGAAGTGATAGGTAATAGTAGACAGTTATTTAAACTTGTCAGAGACTGGAGCGAAAACGTCAATGGTTAGTAAGACGATAGAGAAGGTTTGGTTTGTGGTTCACTCAGGGGAGATGATTGCAGCAATAGACGAAGCACTTCGAAGAACAGTTCAACTGACCTCAAGCTACTACCAAGTTGCCCTCTGTCTAGTCGGAACCTGAATGGAACATCGAGATAGGACCCCCAATACTTGAAGAAGTCGAGAAAGCGGCAAGTAAACTGAAACGAGGAGCAGCTGGGCCAAACGGACTAGTTCTATAAGTATTTAACGACGAAGGCCAACGATTTTTGGTCACGTTAACTGAAGTGTTAACAGTGTGTGTGTCAGATATGATCCCCTCTAAATGGTCTCAGTCACTGAGTGTCGCAGTCTTCAAGAAAGGTGAGAAATCGTCTTATGATAAGCATAGTGCATTTAGCTTGACGAATATAGTGTCGAAGATTCTATAATCACTAGACGTCTGAGTGGAGTTCGGGAACGGCAAGTACGAGGAAACCAGACAGGCATCAGGCTTGGCTGTGTCGACCTGGTATTCACTCTTTACCAGATTATGGAACGCAGGCACTTACTGAGACTAGCTGTATTTCTGAACTTCAAGGCGATATTCGACACCGGCGATCGAGACATCTTATGACAGTGTCCCGCAATGAGAGGAGCACCGGATAAGCACACCACTCTGTTAAAGGCTCTTTACTTGAAGACTCGTGGGCATATTGGAGCGTATGGTGAACTATGTACACCGAGTGGTGTCCGTCAAGGATGCCTATTCTCTCCATTTCTGCTCAATTTTATCATAAACTTTCCTTCTCGTCATCTGATTTCACAGGGATCGATCTAATCACAGGAGAATCCTTAACTGATTTGCAATACGCAGATGACATAGTCCTGTTAAGTGAAGATGCAATCTTCTGGACAACTTGAGTGATAATTTGAGAATGTTTGGGATGCGTTTCTCGCCGCCTAAATGCAAATTGTTGCTCCAGGACTGATTTTCGGGGGTGCCCTGTTTTAACGTAGGGAGTGAGACAGTTAAGGGAATTGACCACTTCACTCACCTGGGGAGTTGGACCAGCTGTGGTGGGTCAGTGATCGGTGAAATCTCTGCAAGAAGACAAAAGGCTAGCTGGGTTTTCATCATCAGTGGCGCCACCACGATACCCGACTGCTTATTAAAGGTTGAGTGTACTGCGTTGGAGTTAACTGTCTTCTACTGCATGGCTGTTAAACATGGCCACTAAAGGCAGAAGGTATAAGAAGGCTTCAGGTGTTTGACCACCGCTGCTTTCGCAGCATAGGCCATGTGTCGTGATGTCACCACGTCAGTAATGCAGAATTCATGTGTGGAGTTTTAGGGAGCAGAGTAATGTCATTTGGTGAAGTTATGAACTTTCATCGACTGAGACATGTGTTACGCATGCTTAGTCACCGTCTGTCTCTTCGTGGAGTGTTAAGTGAAGTAGGTTCAGTCTAGAAAAATGGCTGGAAGAGCAGCCAGACTAAAACATGCCATCAATGTATGAAGTCTTTGAGTGTTCGTCTGAGCCTTGTAGGGAAATGCAGACTAGCCAATCGGGGTCCGTGGGACATTAGGAACATGTAGTTGGAGACTCTAGGTAATATGCCTCAGAACTGATTTCAGGATCACAGATATATCCACACTTGTTCTTCGTCTTAATCAGTATGCTGAATTTAACATTTCCTCATTCCTCTCTTTTACGGGTTTCTACTGTTTTTGACCGATTTTTCTCTATTTCTCCATGTTTCATCTTATTACTTTGTTGCTTAGTGTGCTAATATAAGGTTGGGGAATTTGAACCACTACGCAGTAATGCCCTGGTCTTATGTATATATTGATGATGAGGATCTGAGTTACACAAACTGCAGATTTTAGGATCAACTGGAATTTGATCCACAATTAGTATCACACACGTTTCTCACTAATTTACTCGTTTACTTCGACCGTTTTTTCTAGTAACTTTGTTGATGTAAGAAGAAAGTCTTCAATATGAAAAGAGTTTAATAAATAATCTCAAAAATAATCTCTTTTTTTTATTGTTGTGTGCATCCCATATTTTGTTTGTTAATAAAACAGACTGTTTCAATGAGATAAAAGTGAAAACGAGACATTATAAAAATGAAATAAGAAAGTAGTTAGGACGAGTTAAACAAAACCGATAAACTATTACAACATATGACGCGCAGACTGTTTCATAACAAAATGGAAAAAGTACACTAAAATTCTTTTTTCTACATGTGTATAATTGAAACAAAAATAAATAATTATTGTTAAAGGTGAATAAGTTATCATTTAGATACGCATAAAATACATTCACATTTTTTCAAATAGTTTTGATGGAAGACACACATTTTCATAAATATAAATTACCTAATAGGTGTAAAATGAAGCGAAACAATACAGTCAAACACATACACTATCTGTACATATATAAAAATCATTGTATCACTAATAATCATAAAGTGTGATCCATCAACAATCATACCAAGATTTAGGATATACAGGTAAAAGATAACAGAGTGAGAGTGAGGAGAAAATCGACTCTTTATTTGTGCCTTAAACGGAACGGCACATTAAAAAAATAACAAAATTAAGATGGGCACAATGCACCACAATCACAACCACCGGCGGTTAAACATAAGAAGAAAAAAGGAAACAGGGAAGTGTTCATTTGAATCATTTTCGGCTGAATGACCATAATAATAATAATAATAATAATAATAATAATAATAATAATAATAATAATAATAATAATAATAATACATCACAACGTGTTCATTGTTTAGAACTACGAATGATCGATGAACTAGACATGTTGGCATTATCAATTTCTTGAGAGAATAAAGTAATAATTCGATTAGGACGAGAATCTTGTATATTTGATTGTTTTGTACTGGAACTGGAAGTAAGTGAACCCAAACGAATATTTGACAGACTGGAAATAGGTCGTGTTGAAGTTTTATGTCGAGATTGTGGAATATTACTTAGGTTACCACCACCACCAATATTGGTATTTAAATTGAACAAATCATCTTTGCATTCCTGAGCAAATCGTTCTCTTAGTATCTATTTTAACATTTTGATATAAGTAATGATTAATAATTAAAAAATCAGTAAAAAGAAAATTTAATTCCAAGTAAAATATTGTTCATAAATGAATAATCGATTAACAATGGCTATCACTCCTCGATCAATTTTACAATGGAGATGGAATCACACTCGAAGATACCACTCCTCTACGAGTTATTAACAAGTAGACATTATGGAACACTGACGCCTTTGAAGTGAAGCCAGGAGTAAGACAAGGCTGACGCCTACTATTATCCATGATCTTCTGAATGAGGTCGACTAGATCATGCAAGAAACTGTGAGGAGCAAAAAGAGGGGGATACGCTGCTTGACCGATGAAAAGACCCCAGAAGAAGATTTGGATTTCGATGATGATGATTCATGTCTAATGTCTTGTCGCACAAACTCGAAGATTTACAGGCGAAAACTAACAAGTTGACAGAAGAGGCGAGGCAGCGAAAACGGGACTTCAAGTGAATGTAGAGAAGATGGAGGTGGTGAAGATACCCAACCAACGCCACCACCACCACCACCACCAACAACAACAACAACAAGCACCAATCACTATCAACGGGAGAAACCTAAAGGAAGTAGTCTCTTTCACCTACCTAGGCAGAATCGTTTCAACTACAGGCGGCGGTGGCACAGACGAGGATGTCAAAGCCACGATCGGAAAAGCAAGACAGGCATTCATTAATTTGAAATCAGTGTGGAGATCTACTGCACTCAGCATAAAGGGTTAACAAGATCCGGATTTGTAACACCAATTCAGTCAAGTCAGTACTGCTATATGGTTGCGAAACTTGGAGCGTCACGAAAAGCATTTCCGATAAACTACAGACATTCATCAGCAGCTGCCTGCGCTCACTCGATACTAAAGGTCAGACGGCCAGAATAATAAGAATAAGCAAGGTGGAACTCTGGCAACGAACCAACCAAGAACCTATCACCCAACAAATATGCAGAAGAAGGAGGTGGAGATGGATTGGGCATGCACTGAGAAGGCCGATCGGGGACATCACGCGCCAGGCCCTCTAGTGAAACGACGAATTGTGCGTCCGAGGGTGACATGTAGGAGATCATGTGAGGAAGAAATGAAAGCTTGTGGGCAGTCGTGGAGCGAGGTTCAAAAGACTACAGACAAGAGAGTGCAATGGAGGCGTGCTACTGAAGCCGTATGTTCCACTAGGAACCCAAGGGGGAAAAAATAATAATAAGGCATTATGGAACACTTAAACAATCCACTCGTCGAAAGTCTAAGTGGAGTGAACAAATGATACAGTCTAGCAGTCAAGAAATAGATTTAATCTATTCCCACTTTCCTCTCGAATTCGAAGAACTTGTACTTCCGATAATTAATAAGACGAAATCTAACTTCTTGGATCGACATTCATCAAAAATGGATGCATAGATTAACAATCACATTTTATAAACAGTGACTACACGAATAAGAGTGGATAATAAGATGGAGTACACTTTTTCAACCTGATTTACTTAGCCTTGATATCCTAATTTTGATTATATATATGAAGAAGTTCAGTTCAGAATTTCGTACGAAAAGTAACAATTATTTTATTCCAAACACACTGAGATTTATACAAATATAACCTAAATCTTATGCTAATTTCCCACTCGGCAGCAAATGTTCGCGATACTATTCGGCTGTTTACACGATGTCTTCACGAAAGGTGGTTGACGCTACAAAGATAATGGTGTTTTCAAGTCTAGAGTCTTTTTATATCATCTCCCTTAAATAGTCACGTATATCAGCGAACTAATATGCAGTCAGTCGGATACCTCACCAGTAGCATAGGTAATCAGTTCTAACGGATAGTCAGAGAGTACCAGTATTTTGTCATTTACATCTAACTAATTATCAAATGGTGAATAAATTGCATAGCAGTCTGCTATGACATGCTGTGTGATGTAATTACCCGAAGGGGGGTAAACTTTAGGGAGTTACTAATTTCTGATCATAGGCGTTTTGCAGCAATGTTCACATTGTTAAAGATAGGCACCTAGTTCCAAGTAAGGAGCGTAATTCACTTAATACAATAGTGGATTTACAGTAATTCAGATAAAATTTGTGTTAGATAAAGCTGCGTTTTACTTGATATATGTGGGGGATTCATTGAATACGCTGGAAAAGAAAAGATGTCGGCTCCAGCATTTCGACAATGTATACCCCAGTATTAAGTTTACAATAGAATGTGAACAGTAACAACAGGTAATCTTTGCTCTACTTGAGGGTGAGATACAAAGAAGATGGTGCAAAAGACAAGAGTCTTCATCGTAAAACCACATGGGGCGGTCAATATTTAATTTTGACAATTCCTTCCCAGTCAGCTACAAGAGAGGTTTAGTGAGAGTGTTATATCACAAGGTAAAAAACCTATGCTTCCAGGAAAAACTGCAAGCAGAACTTTAACTAGTTGGGTAGCGTCTACGCAATAACAGCTATTCGATGAAGTTCGTACAGAAATGCAGCAGAAGTAAAGAGAAGAAAGCGGCGTGCAACACTGGAAAGGAAACGACTACTACTTACTTTGGCTTCTAAAGGAGATGAAGTTGAGGCGAGAATCAACAGATGGATTGGAAGTGCGCTGTACAGGACGTATCAGGCTACAAAAACAGCTTCATTGTATCAAACAGCATATTTAATCACATGTATGTGTGGACCCAATTATGTAGGCGGGACAGAGAGGCAACTGTCCGCAAGGATTGCTGAGTACATGCCAAAACTTCTACTTCCCAAAAGTCTATTCTCATACAATAGTGCAATAGCTCGTCGCTTATGTAATACAGGACATCAAGTAGATGCGATGAAGTGATTGATAGTAAGTCAATAGACGAAAGACTTGACTCTTATTTTGAATTGACAAAGTTTTCAGTACACGAAGAACAAGTACTTCAGCGAAGAGTATTTTTTCAGCAATTTCACTCTCACAGCTGAACAATCACAAATTTATCAAGGTTTGACAGTCAAAAGTGGTTTGCCAAACATCGCAGCAACATACATGAGCCATCATTAAGATCGAGGACTGTGACTGATAGTGAAGATTAATCAGAATATGACTGGAGTTGTGTAAAGACTACTAAGTTTTGATAATAATTTTCGTGGCATGACAAAATATTTGGAAAATGAAGTGTGATCAGAGCATAGAAACAAGAATGAATAGTAGATTATGTGAAAAGTGAAGCGTGTAGGAAGAAAGAGGTGATTTCAAAGTCTGTAAATCGAGATCATGAAAGAAGAAGTTGAACAATTTTTCTTTTGTGTACAAAGTTCAGGTGTCGCAATATGGATTTGAAGATATACACGAGTTGGAAGGTTTCTTTTCACTTGAGGAATTTCATTGAGATCGGATGACCCGTGTTCACGACGTGTTTAGTTATAGTACTTCTTGTTGATCCACTGTTACTTCCTCTTTTGGTGATGAGAAACGCATGCCAAACGTTTCTAAGGTGTCCAGGAGACTGCATATTGTCAGTATCTTCACTTAAGAGGACTATGTCATCTGCATATTCTAGGTCTCACGAAAATTCTGTGATTAGGTCAAACTCTGTGTAATCAGGTGACGAGAGGGAGACCTCCGTAAGAATATCTATGATAAAATTGAATAAGAATGAAGAGAGTGGGCACCCTTGACGGACACCACTCGATGAGCTCAGCTCCCCACACATCTCACCATAGGCTGTAACACGCCCATAAGTTTTCGAGTAGAGAGCCTTCAATAAGCTAATGTACTTATTCGGCACGCCTTTCAATGAGAGGCATTGCCATAAGAACTCTCGATCAACGGAGTCGAATGCCGCCTTCAAGTCGAGAAATACAGCTAGTGTATGGCGCCAGTAAGCGTGTCTGTGTTCCAAAACCTGGCGCAGTGTGACTATTTGGTCGATACACCCGCGGCCGGGTCTAAAGACTGCCTTGTTTTCTCAGGCTTGCAGTTCCCGAGCTCAACCCAAGCGTCGAAGAATTATTAAACCTAGGGTCTTGGACACTATGTTCGTGAGACTGATTCCTCTGTGGTTATCACAAGAGGACTTCTCACCTTTCTTGAAGACTGGAATAATCAGTGATTCAGACTAGTCAGAGGAGACCGTATTTGATTCCCATATACTAGTTAATACTTCCGTTAATCTCACTAAGAGCACCTTACCACCATCTTTATATACTTCAAGAGTTAGTTCAACTGGTCCTATTGCCCTTCCTCCTTTCACGTTACCTACCGCTTTCTCGACTTCTGCTCGTGTTGGGGGCCCCATCTCAACGTTCCATTCAGGGTCCAACTGGATAGTGGGCAACACAATGGTGGCTGGAGGCCAGTTAAACTGTTCCTCAAAGTGTTCTGCCCATGGTTTCAGTCGTCACCTCTGCGAGTGAATCCCAGATCCGTCCTTCTCTACTATAGTCTCACTAACCTCAGTTGACCTTTTCCCTCTAGTCTCCTTAATAAGTCTAACTGTCTACTGTTACCGATTGCCGCTGCCTTTTCCATCTCTTTAGCCTTCACTGCGTACCACTGTTAGCAGTAGTTGCGTAAACTTTTTGCCAGTCTACTTTTAAGTTGCGCTCGCTCTTCATTGTACTCAGAGCCTGCAGCGATGCTTTCACGTGCATCCATTAGTTTGAAAGAAGCTGCTGATATCCACTGGCTCTTTTTAGCCACTATTTTGGAGTCGGTTACAGTATTCAGTGCTGCTTTTACAGCAGACTGAAGAAGGCACCAAGCTTCTTCTGGATGAGTGACAGTCTTTTGTTCAGATAACTGCCTAGACAACTTTTCACCGAACACGGCTTCGGTGTTTCCGTTTTCCAGCAGCACTCATAGTGGTATTGTTGCCAAATTTTTCTTACGTCCATTGAGATGCAGGCATATACGCGCTCGTGTCGTTCAGCAGCGTAGCGCAGAGGTGACTATCAACTGGGATCCAGTCTAGTAGTGAGTTTTCTGCTCTAGAGCTTAATGCTATGCCTACACCTGCAAGACGGGCCAGAACTAGCCACCGAATCTCCAGAAACTCGGAGAGTGAATTTTGCAGATTCACCAGATTGGTCGGGAGAGGTCAGGTGAATAACCACACTTGGGTCCTATATGCGTGTCTCACAAACACAGCACACATCCATGGCCCGAGTTGCTGCAGTCTTCGCCAATGAAGCCTGTTGACCAATATGTAATTTGGAGCGTGGTTTAAGGAGACCAGTGATGCTGTTCTGTGGACTCGGATCGTTGTCAAAGGCTGCAGAGGTAGGAGGAATTGAAGATGATGTAGTATCGCTAGTCGAGAGACGTGAAGGAAGATTAGAAAGTAATAATGAGGGAGGTGGATAGCAGTCTGAGGGAACTTGAGTGCTGATAGAGTTGTGAGGGCGGTTGACACTTCCCGGCTGCCCACACCGTGGAAGGCTATTTCTTCTCAAGGTACCTGGAAGAGGTTTGTGTGACCGCAGAGCCCATCGGACACCTGCTTGAGGCCTTCCACATGCAGCTTTTTGTGCATTATTATTTTAAAATTTTGTTGTTTTGGGGCCGGATGGTGGAAAAGAAACGGCAAATGAACCAACACCACCGGCCGGCAGACTGTAGGGCATGGTGGGGTGTGTTATTTTTGGGACCTACCTTTTCTAACCCCCCCCCCTTCCACTGAGAAGGCAGCATCAGCATGGCACTGCTGGTCATCCAAGAGGAACACCTTACTGCTGTCACACCCCATCCAGCCAGCAGCAGTACGACTTCACCCTCAGACCCCCATCATAGTGTGGTAATTTACACTACAACGGTAACTACTTTTCGTCTAACCACTATCCAACAGACCTTTCTGGCACAGTAGGACCTCGAGGGAACAAGCGTTACACCAGCATATCTCTTTGGGTCATTGTGATATAGAAGCCCGACCACCACGTCAAGGTAGCAGCTATCGGTTGGTTGTTATGAAACTCAAGACAGGGGAAAGATTCGAACCAAACCTGACTGCTATTTCCTAGATTATCTACTTTGCCACGATGCTCACCAGTATTCTTGTGATTCCATATGAAATCTAACAATAATTGGGTACTCTATCTTACATGAAACGAATATATATATATATATATATATATATATATATATTGGAGGGAAATATAGTAATAGTAGTATTACTAATTACTTTGAATAAGTTAACTTACAGCTTTAGTTCTAGGTAACGATTCGGTGTACATGCGTAATTCATTTTGATGCTTAACATCCAATTCTTGTAATCGTATTGTTTCCTGATCCATTAAAGCATTACGTTTCTCAATTGCACTTTGTTCTAATTCCCTTAGTCGAAAATGAATACTCTGTTCTAAGGCTTCAGTTTGTGCTTTGTGCTTAGACTCTAAATAGGCTAATTCATCATTCATACGCTTTTGAGCTTCATTCACCTTTTTATGAAAAGAAAAGTTTGATACAATAGTTTTTTTTGTTACTTACAAGTAGTCATTTACATTATGCCACAAAAAGAGTATGATACAATGGAAAATTACTTTGCAGGAGCTTAGTTTGTGTAAACGGCAGTTGCACACATTGAATGTGAATTTCATTATGTCAAGCAATAGACTAATATGAACTAAGAACGAGTTAATTTACTCAACAATATTCAATATTCCTTCTTGTTACACTAGGATCGTGTTAACGAATCAGAAATTTGGATACATTTGTAAAAAAATTTTTTAGTGAGTTGTTTATCGTGAAACACCAAGAAGGTCGCAGTTCATATCGATAGAACAGCTAGTCGAAATACGTGAGGAAAAAGTGCCTATAATATAGAAGGAACAATCAATCACACCTAAGGTCATCGGGACAAGCTAATTAGCCATTTGTGGAGAAATTCTCATAGCTTACTTCTTCCTGAAGTTTGTACTGATGATATTGTTTAGAAGGGCACTGAAAGCTTCAGTATTTAACCATTCAATTTAAAGAACACAATACTACGAGAATCATCTTCCTGAGCTCGTGAAGACTCCAACTAAAGCCCAGCGACTTCATGGGCCGGTGTTAGGTTTCTTCAAACCTAATCCTACTTCGGTTGATAGCGAGGTTAGCGATGGTTCGGGAAACGCAACACAGGCGCAAGTCACGTCAGTCAATATATATTGACGATCTCACTGACTGAATAACCTAACTTCAACGTTGCTCATATAGTGGTTCTATGAAACGCGAACAATGCTGCAGAAAGATTTACAATCAAAAGTCTGTAGCTTTCTTGTATTTCCTACTTTCAGTAGTCATTTCTCACCGTCACGCGATACAGTCGTCAATGAATGTTAGACAATTTTTAATACAGAATTGAACTTTGGAAATGCAGAAATTTTAAGTAGTATAGTTAACTTAAGGAGAATATACCAATGATTCTTAGAGTCGAAAATTACATTCAATCAGAGATCAGCAAACGCATAAAAATGGACACGATTTACCAAGCAATGAAGAAGACCAGCAACAACGGGTGAGATTTCACGTAGTTGTACCACTAGACTGATTGTGTATAAACCTGCATATTTCATTTCTATTCGAAGTTTAGAAAAGGTGATAAACAACGGAACCATCTAACTCAAAGGAAAATATATCACCAGAACCTTTCCCCTGAGGTTATCGATCTTGTTATCCATTCCGAATGCAGACATAAAGAAAGTGGTAACATTAAATCGCATGGTGTTAACATCTTCAAGCATTTCTACGATTAGAATTTTAATCTGTGGAAATGTTGTTGATTACAATACACGTTGCAAGTTCAAATGGTATCTTTCCAATTATTATTATTCTCATTCTTCTTCTTCTCCTTATTATTATTATTATTATTATTATTATTATTATTATTATTATTATTATTATTATTACATGATAACAATCTCATTGTCCAAAAAATAACCAGTTTATCGCCATCTAGTGACTTCAGAGGAATATACTACTACTGAACAAATTAAGTAGTCAGAAAACACTCAAACTGATCTATCGATTTCGTCAGCCAGCCATATCAGAATGATTTAACGCTGGAAGGTCGTTTCGACCGTTTAAGTCCAGCAAAATCAACTTGAGTGGTTTCTAACTACTCAAGTTATACAGCAGTAGTATATTTCGCTATTTCCTGACACTTGTGTCATATCACATCCTGTGATCTTGACTGTGGTCTACATTATTATTATTATTATTACTATTATTATTATTATTATTATTATTATTATTATTATTATTATTAATCCCTTGGGTTCCTAATGGAACATAGGGCTTCAGTAGCACGTCTCCATTCCACTCTCTTCTCTGAAATCTTTTGAACCTGGCTCCACGACAGCCCACAAGCTCTCGTTTCCTCCTCGCACGATCTCCTCCATGTCACCCTCACCTCGGACGCCCAACTCTTCGCTTCCCATCTGGGTTCCACTAGAGCGACTGGCCCGGGCACGTGATGTCCCCAGTCGACCTTCTTAGTGTATGCCCAATCCAATCCATCTCCACTTCCTTCTGCATATTTGTTGAGCGATAGCTTTTTGGTTGGTTCGTTCCCAGAGCTCCCTGTTGCTTATTCTTTCTGGCCATCTGATCTTCAGTAGCGAGCGTAAGCAGTTGTTGATGAATGTCTGTAGTTTATTGGAAATCCCTTTTGTAACGCACCAAGTCTCTGAACCATACAGAAGCACTGACTTGACTGATGCTGGTGTTGAAAATCCGGATCTTGTTCCGCATGCTGAGTGCAGAAGATCTCCACACTGGTTTCAGGCTAATGAACACCTGTCTTACTTTTCCGATCCTTCCTGGCTTTGACATCCTCGTCTGTGCCTGTGGCGCCTGTAGTTGAAACAGTGCTTCCTAGATAGGTGTAGGTGAAGGAGGTTACTTCCTTTAAGTTTCTCCCGTTGATGGTGATTAAAGTTTGTTTTTGTTGTTGTATGAGCGGTATCTTCATCACCTCTATCTTCTCTATATTCACCTGAAGTCCCGTGTTCGCTGCCTCTTCTATCAACTTGTTGGATTTCGCCTGTAGATATTCCAGTTTGTGTGACATTAGACACAAGTCATCGGCGAAATCCAAGTCTTCTAGGTTCTTTCCCGCAGTCCAGTGTATACCCCTCTTCTCGCTCCTCACTGTTTGCTGCATGATCCAGTCCACTACAATCAGGAATATCATGGGGGATAATAGGCAATCTTGTTTCACTTCTGTCTCCACTTCACTTCAAAAGCATCACTGAGCTTCCCATTATGAATTACTTGGCTGGTATGTGGCGTCTTCATATAGTTGTTGAATGAGGTTGATAAAGGTTTGCGGTACTCCGTAGTATTGAAGCAGTTTCCAAATTACTTCTCGGTCGACGTTGTCAAAGGCCTTCTCAAAGTCGATAAAGTTGAGGTAGAGAGTTGACTGCCATTCTATACTCTGTTCTATGATGATGCGTGGTGTGGCGTTTCAATTTGGTCGGCAGATGATTTGTACTTCCTGAATGCAGCCAGCCTGTTCCGGTCGTATTTTTGAGTCCAGTGCATCTTTAAGCCTCTCCAGGATGATGCGGCTTAATATTTTGCTTGCTGTGGGTGGACAGGAGAGTGATTCCACGCCAGTTCTTGCAAACACTCAGGTTTCCCTTCTTTGGGAGTTTGACAAGGTAATCCTTTCTCCAATCAATGGCCAAATACCTTCTCTTCCTTCCACACCTTCTGCAATAGTGGTGTGGTGTGAGCATGTCTGCTGCTCTTGTCTGTGCGTCTGTTTTCAGTGCTTGTGGCGGGATCCCGTCTGGTCCTGCTGCTTTCCCACATTTCAGTAGCCTTATGGCGTTCAGGACTTCCACTTTTGTTGGAGGATTTATGTTCACTTGTAGTTCTGTGGCTGGGCTGCAAGTGGTATTTCTGGACGAAGTGTAGATGGTGGTGGTGGTCGATTCAAGAGCTTCTTGAAGTGGTCGGCCCATTGTTTCCTTTGTTTATCTTCTTTCGTAATTAAATTTCCTTCTTCATCTTTTATTGGTTCCATCTGCGTTGATCTCTTCCCTGCCAGATAGCAACCTGGTTATTTGATACAATGTTGTCAGGTCTGTGTTTCTCCTACCTGCAGCCTGTTCTGCTTCACTTGCCAGTGTTTCGTAGAAGTGTCTTTTGTCTTTCCACCCACTCTTCTTCACTTCTTTGTCCAGTGTAGTGTTTTATACATTGTATTCAGTTCCTCTTGTCGTTAAGCATCCATGCACTGATTTATCTTCTGCTTCACCATCCCCCTCTGCTTGCTATATCAGCTTCCATGTGTCTGTCGAGATCCATTCCTTGTCTTCCACCTTCTTCCTTCCTAATACGGCTGTGCAGGTTTCCTTCCACATAGCTTTCAAAGACTTCCAGTGTTCGTCAACATAGGTTTCTTCATGAATGCTGCTAGATATCTCGCATTTTGTCCTGACGGCTGACGTGAGGGTGTCCTTTGTAGTTTCATCCTTCAGTTTCCGAGTGTTGTACTTGAACTGAGGTCTATCACCAGCTTCCTTGAAGGCTTTTAACTTGATTTGGAAGGTGGGTTCCTTGCACTAGATAGTGGTGTGAACCTACATCTCCCCATCTTGACCTTGTGTCAAGTAGGCTGACTGCGTCCCCACTTTCTTGAGACTGAGATAAAGTCGATTTGATTTTTAGTGTGTCCATCTGGTGAACTGGAATCCATGTCGCTTTGTGGATATCCTTGTGCGTGAACACACTGCCTCCAATCACCAAATCGTTGAATGCACAGAATTCTGAAAACAATTCTCCATTCTCGTTCATCACCTCACCGAGCGTTTCTCGACCTATGGTTAGTTCTCTTCCTGTGTTGTCCCCTCCCAGTTTGACATTCATGTCGCCCATTAGAATTTTCGCCAACTGAGGTCTTGTCCAGTGTTGATTGCAGTTGTCTGTAGAATTCCTACTTCTTCTCTTCATCTGCATTATTTGTAGGTGCATAGTGTAGCGTAGCACTGTATGATTGTGACCTTCCTTCCTTCCTTTTGAGTTGAATCTTGCTGTCATGATCCTGGAGGAGATTGGTTCCCACTGCACGAGAGAGAGAGCCTTCGATGCTCTTGGGGACATCATGATAGCCACTTCAAAACTCAGTGTGCTTATGGTTGTCGCCTAGGTGACCGGAGTAGATTATTGGTTCTCCAGTTGACAGTTTGGAGGGTCCACTCCCATTCCATCTGCTTTCGCAAATTTCAAGCACTTCAATGTGGTACCTCTTCATCTCGTTTGCAATCTGGGCTGCCTTGCTGGGTCCAAACATCGTGCGGACATTCCATGTCCGAGAGAGAGAAGACACATCGGCCAATTGGCTTCCCGAAGGCTTTCACCAACTCGCCTCTCCGATTCCAGCGAGGAATAATTTTGTTGTTATTTTTTATGTATCGTTTGTGCTTTGAAGTTTCTTTAGCGGTTAGATTTGTTTCACGGGGTAGGGTTGCTAGCCCTATGCCCAACCTTCCCTCTTTACCCGGGCTTAGGACCGGCTAGTAACTAGTGAACTAGTTAACCAGACACCTGACACTGTTGTGTCATATCACATCCTGTGATCTTGACTGTGGTTTACAGTGGGAACCTTATTGACACCACAGTTGGGCAGTTGAAAAACTATTCAGCTATGAGAAATGTCAACTTGAGCTGTACGATTTGGCAACTGATCATCCTATCCAATGACTCTAACTAACCAAATGTAAGTAGTTGCTCTAGGCTTCTGGTGATTGACCGCCGATACCTTTGTAACATAGGGTATATCGTGGAACCATCACTTCAGTAATGACCAAGTCAGGTATAGAGTTTTAAATAAAAAAAGTTCATCTGATGAAGTTATGAACCTTCAACGACTCAAATAGCTGAGACACATGTCTACTCCATCAAGCAATACCGGCTGAAGTAGGTTAGAAGCAACAGACTAACACACGATATCAATCTATGAAATCTCTGATTGTTGACCTAAGGTATATGAGGAAGTGTAGATGTCACGGTTGAGGTTCGCAGGATAACCGAAATCGGTGATTGGAGACTTTTAGAGATGTCGCTTTTATTCAATCTTAGTGTGACGTAGGTACGGTACATCCACAGTTTATCTCCGACTTAATTGCTATACAGAATTTCCTTATTATCTCACTCATTCTTCTCCTGTTTTTATGACTTTCTACTACTACAGGTTAATTTACTTCTACTTCTCTATCTTTCATCTTGATGTAGTGAGATGAGGTTAGGCAGATTGAACCATTACGCAATAATGCCAAGCCTCATTCTGGTACTGACTGACCGAGTAAGAGAATTACACAGACTGTAATAGTTCAGCACAAGATATTAGATTACTGTAATTCAATTTATACCGGAATTTTTCTAGTGTTCCTTCAACACCTCTCTCTTTACATAAACTTACTTACCTGCTGTGAAACGATTCGAGATTGTCGTTGTAATGTCAGGATACTACGTTTATTCAATGTCTTCAGCGATTTCACGAGATTTTTTCTTTCTATAGAGTGGATTGTCTGTAGTTTACTGCGTTCCGTGTTGATAGTCTACAGGAAAAGAAAACAACAACAAATAAAACATAATCAATTTTAAGCCATTTTCATCCTAATCGAGCATAATCACTACTACTCCAATTACAGCAGTATTACTAAATAAACATCCGATACTTGAACACTGACTACACTATTCATATTGCTCAATCAAATAGCCAAATGAATAATAAACTGCTAAGACCTTTTTTTCCTTTGAAATCGAACTACTGACTACAGGCAAACTAAACTACGTAACTGTGTGACGTTCGAAAGAGAGGCGCTTTTAAAATCTGGTATATATAGTTTACGTGTTGTTTCCCTGCGAATTAGTTGGTGCGCTTGCGGTGTAAAATCTATATACTACTACAGATTCTGACATACATTTGAACTCAAACGGGTGCGCTTTGAAGTTTATTGCAAAGATTGCTGACAATTACTTCAGCAGATTTCGAAAACAAAGAGAATGAGATGGTGGGATGTGTCGACAACTTCAGTTACTCGGGAAGCTACATCACGCCCAACAAGCTGGTTGTTGACGAAATCTCAGCTAGGATACAAAAGGCCAGTTTGGCATTTACCAACTTCCAGTATATTCGACTAACCACCAAAGAATGATTATACTGCGCTGGACTGCCTTCTGTCCTATCATACGATGACAATGGCGCAGATCTTATCATTCTTTAATGTATTTCAAAGCTTGAATGTTTTAACTAACCTTCATTTTTAAATTCGCTTTCTCCCCTACACCTTTTCCTTACTTTGAGATCAGTCATTTTCTATCCCCTCGTTCTTTGTAAGCTGGTGTAAAGTGTAACAAGCTGAACCGATGGCACTTGTGTTCGAGGTTCTACGTTGAGTTTTTCTGTCTGTCAGCCTGATCAAAGAAATGAAAATATCTGTTCTTCTGTGAGTGGCTTATAACTACTTATGTCAGTATCAGTAATATGTTGTGTACAGTTTTCACTCCCCTATTAAGGACATTGTGAGAATACCTTTTCTTAAAGCACGCATTCGTAATGCCAAACAACTGATAAGATTACAAAGAAAAGAATGAAACACTTAATTCATCATTTCCGTTAACGGAACAATCGTTCTTGAGGTATTCTATGAAAAAAAACGGTAACAAGATTATTTGTATTTGAGGATTTGGTGATTTCTCAAGTTGGTATTCATCATGGACTGACATCAGATGGAGAAACATTGGAAATCCGTGAGCACTTAACAGCTATTTCGTCCTAGTATGGGACTCCTCAGCAGTGCGCACACATGACCCCGCTAGGAATCTAACCCAGTTTCGAGAGGTGATTCCTGAAGTTCCAATGAGAAGTGGTGATTAGTGGGGCAAACCTGGTGGCCATGAGGACAAATAATCAACGATGACATTAGGTGATGGTCGTACTATGTAGTGAACTGACAGAAATTGGAAATATGGACCACTGGATTCCAACTCAGTAGTTCAATGGTAACGTGCTGGCTAGGTAACAAGATTAATTTTATCGACGTTGAACAACATTTCTACCAATGAAAAAGGCTTTTTTCCCCCACTTTATAATTTTCCTACCTTTTATTGTTTATAGGAAGAACTAGTATTTATATTGTCATAACAAATGATGCTGAATACTTTATAACAGATCCAATATTTACAAGCTCAAAATATTTATACCATAATGACTGATAATATAGCATTAACCCTAGGGATCAGATAACATAATTGTCAAAGTGGAATGACTTTAACGGGTCACCCTAGCAAATGCTGAAATAACCAACTACTACGATTCTCTATTCTGTAAAAACCTGCCATCTTAATCTGAATAACGCAACCTGATTGGTTATTCCCTCATGTGTTACGTATGCGGGACATGTATTACGTATGCCTAGTCGCCGTCTGCCTCGTCACACAATGTTGGCTGAAGTATTTTCAAACTGGAAAACGTCTCGAGGTGACTAGACTAAAACATAGCATCAATGTATGAAGTGTTTGACTGTTGGTTTTAGCCATGTGGGGCGACACAGACTAGGTGGTTGGGGTCTGTGGGACAAGAGGAACCAGTGGTTGGAGAGTCTAGGTGATCATATGACTGATAACCGATGTGAGTGGTTTAGATGTGTACACACATTATCCTTATCTTAATGACGCTACCCCGAATCTCATCATTTTCTCATTTTCCTTTCTCTCTTTTAATATTTTATATTTCTTTCGACTGGATTTTCTTTTCTTCATCTTGCACCTCACTGCCTTTTTACATGATATACCGATATGAGGTGTGTGGACTTGGACCGTTACGCAGTAATGCCTGATCCTATGTTGATATTGATGATGATGTTTCCAGCAGTTTCAATGAAATTTGAAAAACAGTAGAATATCATTCAGAAGAACAATTTTAACTATTCCAAGAATAAAATCCATGATATGTGAAACGGTGTGTAGAGAAAGATGAAACCTTGCAACTTTAATCTAATGTGGTAAAGAAAATTTTTTATCCATTATACATTGGATTAGTAGAGAAATAATGGTCCAATAGACTAAGCAATCGATTTGTAACCAGTGAGTACACAGAGTTGAAATCAGATTCATCCATCAAACAATCAAGATTTAGATAAACCAGCTGATAATTATCACACTAGTCCTTCAGATAATATGTACAGCTTATTATCTAGTGAGTAAATGTGTATATATATGTTCATAAAGGTGATTTGTTAATGTTTACGCATTCAGTTGTGTAACAGTTTAAAATAGTACCTAATTAGACTTTCCATTTTAAAGCATAAGTGTAGGATATAAACTAGTGAAATAGTTCTACTAATCATAAACCAGTAAAATGAAACAAAAACTCTTAATGAAAAAACTTATACAAGTGACTCTAAATGTCATCCTAACAACTGTTAAACTAATCAATTAGTTTAAAGCAACTGGTCCCTTTGATAAATTTAAACAGCGTAATGAGAAGACGAAGATTATCTGAAACATGTGGTGTATTAGTGCTATACATTTCGAACAATCTGATCACACATGGACTTGTCGAACTATTTATATGAAAATTTACGAAAAGGTCAATGAAGTTAATAGGAAAATAGGAATAGGAAGGGATAGAAAAGGAAAAGAAAAACCTTATTCTTGGTATGAAAATTAAAATCAATACTACCAAGGTAGGTTCAACGTGAGTACAAATTGTTTTTGTATACATAAAGGGGGTTTAAATTTACGGATGGCAAGAGCTTCAGTAAATTTAAGCACTCGGCTCTGACCACTTTTATGTAGTACTTTAAAGGCTGTTTTCATGTCTATCCTATGGTTAGTTTCTAGTAAATGTTTAGCGATAGACGAAGATGGATGTTTGTCACCTGCACTTATCGGATCTGTTGAGGTCATTTGTTTTTGTAGCCACTCAGGTACATGTTCAACCTTCCTTAACTGCATATCACGATTACTCCTCCCTATATATGTGTGTCCACACATACATGTAAATTGATAAACACAGTGGGATGTGATGTAATCGTTTATATGTTGTTTCGGTTTGTGCTGTAACATGAACTTGGTCTTCTCTACAATGATGACCTGCATAATACGTTTTACAGATGGCCGATCTAAGTCTTTTCCTCACAACAAAGCTATGTGAATCACCTCTAAATGGTAATGAGATGTAGACATTTTTCTTAATCAATTAGTATAGTAATGATGAGTAGTGGGTAGGAGTGAAATCCACGATGCGCATTTCGTCCTATTCGGGACTCGTCAGCTGGATTTACCTGCCTCCCAGTGAGTGATGTTGTTCCCACCGGGATTTGGACTCGGGAGTCGCACAGGAGCCCATATGTCAACAGAGACTGATCAATTCGGTCCAATCAACGACGGTGTAATACAAGCAATAACACTAATCAATTAGGTTGGTTTCCTTCGCCTTCAACATGTTTTTTCTCATATAAATAAAGAAACCTGATTAATTATTTTACTAATTGCTAGAATAGCCTTCAAAATGACCGAGATAGACAACAACAGATTATTTAAACTTTGAAAGTCACCTTTTACTATTAAGAAACTCATAAATGGTATCCTTGTAAATTTTTGTATGCGATTTCAGTAATTATACCTCTACCATCCACATTTAATTATCTTTAAACTGAAATGACCAACAAAATTAGTGTACTCAATAAGTGAGTAGTGTAGCATTTTACAAAGAATAAAAATCTTTTATTTTTATCCTGAAAGGTGTTGATTTGATCACAGTATTTTTCTCACATTTGTTCATATCCTTCTTCGGTCAACAGAAAAGATGGGTTAGACATCCCACTAATATAGTAAACATCAATGACTCGTATAGGCAGTTGTAAGTAATATATGAAGACAAAGTAGAACACAGTTTCATTTCACATGACTCTTGTTTGAATAGTTTCCGGTGTTATTTCGCTGAATCGTCTTAATCACGTCAAAAAACATCGGTCGTATTTTAACACTTTGTCTATTCCTATTGCATAACACTATTGATCTACTATTTTCATCAATTTTACGCTCTTTTCTGAGTTATCAACATTCTATGAACCACTCTACATATAACATAATCCATTTTGTTATCACTCATGCATCAACTGTTATCACAAGTACCTTTATCGTTATCATAATTATTATTTATTTATCATCCTTCCAAACTAGTAATCTATTTTTTCTCACCCTTGATGTCTCACAACCCCATTGTACTTTTCATGGACGAACTAAAAATTCCCCACCCTATTTTTATTCCACCTTACTAGCACAAGTGAAAAAGCCTCTCGGACCGATTTGTTTATTCACTCACCTGTATTACATAGATCTTTGCTCTATATCACGATGTAATTGGATGATTGTAAAGGTCATCACTTTCTGTACCAAAATTTGAATATTAACCTGAAAACTTAATGTCAGATTCAGACTCTTGAAAACGATCTTCCAGTGCTCCCAGGTTTCCTTTGTTCCTCCAACTGATGTCAGTCTTCGATGAATAACAACTTGAAATATTTCCAAATCTCCACAACCCCCTCAAAATTTATTTATTTTGTCAATTCTTCTAATATACTACACCGGGACTACACACGTAAAAATATACCTTATACAATGAATTATCCTAACTCGGTGCCCAAGCTTTTTCAAACCATCCAGCCCATTGTTGGTCAGGATATCTTCAAACTTATTTTTAAATACCCTAGATTTATTCACCTTACTTTTATAGCAGCATATAAATTCACAAAGTCGATAACAAAAAGATTAACGGTCTTGGTGAAGACAGAAAGACAGATAAAATCAATGTACAACCTCACACACAGGTTCATCAGTTTAACTTGTCACATTTCACAGAAGTATATAAAGAAAAGGTAGATAGAAAAAGATCCCAAGTTGTATGAGGGAGTAAATAATTTGAAGATAAAGGTTAGTGTAAATATTCAAGCTTTGGAAGACTTCAAAGAGTGAATACGTCTGAGTCATTATCACTAACTTACAGCCATGTCATGAAGCCTTCTCAACCACTAATTCCATTCGTCTCAGGGACCCCAGCCAGGTAGCCTACATCTCCGAACACAGCTCAGGCAAACAATAGAAAGCTTCCTCGACTGGTAATACGTCTTGGTCTGGTTACCCTGAACCCTTTTCCAACCTGACCCATCTCCTCCTAGCATGGCATGTCAAGGTAGGCTGTGACTTAGTATGCACAACGCATCTTCAAGCCAACTCAGTCGATAAAGGTTCACAAGCTCATCAGTCGACTTGCCTATCTTGTCTAGTACCTTTCGACTAACCTCAACATTTCTTACACGGTTGTTCTATCAAATGAGAGCAATGCTACGAAGACACTTGTAGTTAAAAACATGTAGTTTTTTCATCTCTTTTACGGCCATGTCTCACAGCCGTATAACAGGAGAGGATGGACTCCGGTGGAGTGTGAAATGATTTCTAATCTAGAGGGATAGTTGACTGAGGAATTTTCGATTTGGGACATATTTTCCGTGTTAGTTCGGACTCATCGTACGGATTTTACCTACCTTTTAGTGAGTGAAGACTTGAACCCAACACTCGTAGCTTTGAAAACTCCATGGCATTATCTACCAAAGTAATAAATTATGGTAGACAGCTACTCCTTGAATAATGGATATCATCTCATATCAGGTTGGTATTCATCATGGACTGACATCAGTTGGAGAAACATTGGAAAACTGGAGGCGCTGGATAGCTGTTTAACAGGAAATATAGATCATTGGATTGCGACTCAGTGGACCAACAGTAACGTGACCACGGAACCAGAAGGTCCTGGGTTCAATATCTGGCGGGGTTATGGGTGTGCACTGCTGAGGAGTCCCATACCAAGATGAAACAGCTGTTCAGTTCTCCCAGGTTCCCAGTGTTCTTCCAACTGATGTCAGTCCATCATACATACCAACCTGGGATCAATAAATTCCAACAAACCTCAAAATTAAATCGATCTAGTGCCCATTGGTGACCAGCTTCGATAGGTGATTCCCTAAGTTCCAACGGGAAGTCGTAACCAGTGGGGTCAACCAAGTTGGACATAAGGAAAGTTACTCAACAACGGCACATGATCGAGGTCCCGCTATATCGTGAACTGACAGAAGTAGAAAATATGGACCGTTGGATTCCGATCCAGTGGATCAACGGTGACGTGCTGGCCACGGAAAGTGAAGGTCCTGGGCGCGCACTGCTGAGGAGCCCTATACTAGGATGAGACAGCTGTCCAATGCTCCAGTGTTTCTCCACCTGATGTTAGTCCATGATGAATACCAACATAAAATCAATAAATCCCTATAAACCTCAAAATTGAAATGATCTGATGTGCTGTTCATTAGTTCTGACTGAATTGATTAGATACCAGTGACATATGGGGTTTTGTTTGAATGGCCTCAAAATAACCGAGAATCTCGTTTTGAAGGTAATGGGGAATTATAGTTGGTAGTAGAACCTAGGATGTGCATTTCGCTCAACAGATGGATATATTCATATTCTTGCTATCAAAATAAAGTTAGTGGTTAGATCGAGGCATCCACACAGTAGCACATATACCAACAATGGCCAACATCAATTCGGTTTATACGAATCAACAAGCAGCGACAAGTCACAATACCATGTTTGATCTTGTTATATCAGCGGAAAAGTGGGAACGTAAATCTTAGATAAGTGTCATTGGTTGCACCATTTAATTTTTTTAAATCACTGCATTTATGCATTATTTCGTAACATAACAGCATAGCTCGGTTTAAGAGCTTTCGATTGACACCTCATACGTTTCTATATAGCTTATTGTTCAGAAAGAAGTACATGTTGAGTGAAATTTGTTATCTTATTTTGTGTTTGGACTTCGTGATTTCATCTTTATAAATTATGGTGCTGTATGGTCAAGCAATTTACTTGTATATACAAATGAATTAGATCCCCTGAGATATACGGCTATTAAGTAGGAGACTTTTTTCCTTGAAGGCGGTTGGGTGGGCCGAATTAGATGAGTTCCCATGTAGGTGAACTGAGTATACGAGAATCGGCAACTACATGAAAGACCAATCACATGCAAGGTCAGCTTCTAGGCTGAATCAGGAGCGACTTTAAAGGCTACCGTAGCAACTACGTAAATAACCAATCAGGTTTCCTTATTTCGGCTGGAGAGGCAGATTTTCATAAAATACAGAAGCGTAATTGGTTATCTCAGCAGTTGCTAGGGTGGCCTTTAAAGTCACTCTTGAAACGGCAGAATCACGTACTTAAAACAATCTCAACTAGGCAAAGCTTAAAAAATTTGGTCTGACAAGATAATCAATTGCACTGTGAACTGTGTTGATTATTTTTAGTGCAAAAGCATTCATGGAATTCCTTTTTGGCTCGTTAAACTGTACGTAAAGTTTGACGTTAGAGTGTATATCAGTCCGATGGCATAGATTATGATTTCCATTTAGCCAAACTTATATTGATTTTAAGTTGGTATTCACCACAAACTGATGTCAGTTGGAAAACCATTGAAACCCAGAGAGCACTTGACAGCTGTTTCGTCCTAGTACGGGACTCATCAGCAGTGCAAACCCATCATCCCAACTTGACAGGTTTCGCTGTCAGCACATTACCATTGACCCGCTACATCAAAATCTAGTCGGTTCGACTCCACCGGTCACAACTTCTCATTATAGCTTCTAGAATCACCTCTAAAAGCAAGTCAATAATAATGACATTTGTTGGTTGAAAAGAAGTGACAAAAGTGTTTCGTACAATATTTACTAACCAATAAACATTCAAGAAGGTGGACAACTTTCTGACAAACAATGTTAGTGTACGTACACTACATAAGTACCAACAGTTTTCCTCAAGAAAAAAAGACGAAATGACAAAAACAGGGAAATGAAATGCTAAAAAATATTTCATTAGACTTTGATAATATCAACAATACTAATAACTTTTATGATGAAATCATCACCAAATCTGACAATGAAACGTCTACAATCAGACAGTATAGCTCAAGAGAAAGCTAAACAGTCTCTATCCTCATCCTAAGCTACAAATCATCTCTCTGTTACCAGAAGATGAAATTAATCTTTACTGAAAAACACCGGTTGCAATGAATCAAAGACCAACTCGTAAATCAAATAATAATAATAATAATTATGATAAGGGTTGCAAGGGGGATTTCATCGTCAGCAGTCGACCAACCAAAACCCGACTGAATGCTTACAACCCAGTCCTTAACATACCTGTTTCAATTCAGTCAACTCGAGCTCTGATCGACCAGTCAGTTGTTCTCGTTTAATCATAAACAAATCCAATAGACCACTTCTCTCCAGTTGATGCTTCATATACAGATAACGTTGTTCCATTTTCCATTTATCTTCTTCAAAGCCTTTATTATTTGTTGGTTTTGATCAAATTGTCATATAATAGTATTGGTAGTAGTTGTAGTAGTAGTAAATAAGTGAGGAAACAAAAGAGAAAGGGGGAAAAAACAAAAAAAAAGTTGTAGTTATCTTCAAAGCATCAAAACTTTACGATGATGTGTGTGTTTCCAAAGACAAGCATGTTAAAAAAAAGTATATATGACAACGTACTTCCAATTTAATGGCAAGATATACAAACAGATGAAATGAACTCTAATAGGGTCATCAATATCCGTACTAATCGGAGAAGTAGTGAATCAGAGACTAGAAGCCATCACTCTACCTCTTATTAAACCAAAAATTTGGATTCGCTTTGTGGACGACACTTTTATCATCAATAAAAAAAGATGATATAGAAAACACTAACAGTTTGATCAACAACGTTTTAAATTAAATCAAACAACCAACTACCATTCCTAGATGTTTTAGTCAGTAAGACAAATGCCGGAAAGCTGGAAGCCTAAGTGTACAGGAAGCCAACACACACTGATCAAATCCTCAACAGGATATCTGTTGGAAACTACACAGTAATGGTATATTTCACCAAATCAGAGATCACAAAATCTTGTGACTTTGGGTGGGTAGTTTTCAATGATAACCCCCTGTTAACACCCCAGTTAGGCAGTTAAAAGCTACTCAGGTCTGAAAAATTTCAACGTGAACCATAATATCCGTAATTCATTTGAAAAGCTGATCATCTTATTTAAGGTACACCGGTCCATCAAAGTCAGGTAGATAAATTCAGCTGATCTGAATTAATTTGGCTGTATGAGGTGAATTTTTCCGAGCAGACTGCTGATGAGATTGGTCCCAAACGATCGAAACGGCCGTCGGGTATTTAGATCACTCTGATCTGGCAAGCGAAATCAAAATATCAGCTTGAGCAGTTTCTTAGTACTACTCAGTTTGTTCAGCAGTAGTATATTTCGAGAATCCGTAAAACTATCTTTATAAAATGAAGCATTGAATTTAATCATTTTACTATATTTGATACGAGGGTTTGAATTGACAAATGCTTGGTTTTACTAAGAATTCCACTGTAATGAGAAGAGATTATTAATGTTTTAAGAGGAATCCTTACACAAACAATTTCTTCAGTTAGTTACCCTGAGCCAACTGGAAAAATATTTACAGGCTGTAAAGTTACCTGTAGCACCAATCACTATCATTGGGAGAAATCTAAAGGAAGTTGTCTCTTTCAGCTACCTAGGCAGCATCGTTTCAGCTACAGACGGCACAGGCACCGATGAGGATATTAGAGCCAAGAACGGAAAGACGGCAAGACAGGTCTTCATTAGTGTGAAATCAGTGTGGAGATCTACTCCACGCCACTCAGCATAAAGTGTGAACAAGATCCGGATTTTCAACACTAATCTCAGTCAAGTCAATGCTTCTATGTGATAGTTGAGAGACTTGGCGCGTCACGAAAAGCATTTCCAACCAGCTGCAGACACATCAACACCTGTCACCTTGCTCACTTGATACTGAAGATCAGATGGCCAGAAAGAATAAGCAATAAGGAACCCACTCTGGCAACGAACTAACCAACAACCTATCGCCTAACAAATATGCAGAAGAAAGTGAAAATGAATTGGACTGACCATACAATGAGAAGACCGTTCGGGAACATCACGCGTTACGCCAGAGGCTATCGAGTGGAACCCAAAGGGGAAACGACGAGTTGGGCATCCGAGGGTGATATGAAGGAGATCATGTGAGGAAGAAATGAAAGGTTATGGGCAGTCATGGAGCGAGGTTCAGAAGACTTCAGAGACCAGAGTGAAATGGAGACGTGCTACTGTAGTCCTATGTTCCACTAGGAACCTAAGGGACAAATAATAATAAGTAATTTTGAGGGAGTTGTGGAGATTTGGAAATATTTCAAGATTTTATTCATCGTAGACTGATATCAGTTGGAGGAACACAGGAAACCTGGGAGCACTGGACAGAAGTTGGAAATATGGAGCATTGGATTCTGACCCAGTGGCTCGATGGTAACGCGCTGGCCGCGGAACCTGAAGGTCATGGGTTCGGTCTCTGGCGGGGTCATGGGTGAGCACTGCTGAGGAGTCCCATACTAGGACGAAACAGCTGTCCAGTGCTCTCAGGTTTCCTTTGTTCCTCCAACTGATGTCAGTCTACGATGAATAACAACTTGAAATAATAAATAAAGTCAGTTGTGCAACTGGTCAAATCAAGGATGTACACACTGCTAAGGAATCACCTAACCCTAGGACAAAACACTTATTTACTTCAGTGCTCACTAGCTTTTCTAATCTTCCCTACTAGCTGAGTTGTACAGGATAAAAAAATAATAAGCAGGAAGTGAACTTACTTAGTCTCAATGTATGACTTTCATTTAAATTTTCTTTACGTAGTAGACTTCTGCGTTTATTATATTCATTATGTAATTCATAAATACGACTATTAACACGAGATTCTTGATCTTCACGAAATACGGTTAAACGTTGACTAACTAATGAATTTGTTGAATGATTTGAATTTAATGATACCAAAGAATTCGATTTCATATTATCATGATCAAGTTTAATTAAATCACGTCTAGCAGCTTTACGCATTGCACGATCATATGTATCAATTTCACTTTTTAAACGATCTTTAAATGTACGCTCTTCTTTTGACTAAAAAAAAAATAAAAATAACCCAGCACAGATAACAGTAAAACTTGAGCACTTTGATAGAATTTAATTCTATTTTAGTTGTCCATAGTCATATCAAGACAATTACACAACTTTTAGACATAATATTTATAGAGTTCTAATTCTCTTCTCGCCTTTTTTGTGATATGAGTAGAAGAATTTCCCATATTTCTCGAACAGGTACAGAATCATTCCTATTGCATGTATTAAGTATTGATTAGATAAACAAAGAATCAGTCATCAATCTCTCCCTCCATCCCACTAGGTTAGTTTTAAGGATTTTCATTACAAGATTGGTCATTACAGACATTATTATATCAGCAAAGAACTCGTCAATTATTTGTCAAAGTTGCTTGACTTAGCGTCAGTGGATAAAATTAGACGGATAAAGGCAGGAAGTATAAAAGAATGGAGAAAATTATATTGTCAGAGACTGTAGAAATTAACAAACCAAAATTTGGCATTACAGTTTAGACGAAGGTTTCGTACTTGTTGACATTTATCAGCAAGGTATATCTACAACCTCGAGGGAAGTGAGGTCTTGCCTGGGATTCGAACCTGCATCACCCAGTGAAGGTAAGGTATGAATTCATGTGGGAAGTAGGATCAACCCTGGTGGGTTAGTTGCCGATGAGATTTCTGCACGGATACAAAAGGCTCGATTGGCTTTTGCCAATTTGCGCCACCTTTGGCGCCGCCGTGATATTCGTTTGTCTATTAAGGGTCGCGTGTACTGCACAGCAGTACACTCCGTTCTACTGTATGGCCGTGAAACATGGCCATTGAAAGTGGAGGATACAAAAGGACTTCAGGTGTTTGACCACCGTTGCCTTCGTAGTATAGGACGTATTCCGTGGTGTCACCATGTGAGTAATGCAGAAGTTAGGTGTAGAGTTTTGGGGAGAAGAGGTAAGTCAGTCGACGAGGTTGTGAACCTTCATCGACTGAGATGGTTGGGACACGTACTACGTATGCCTAGTCACCGATTGCCTCGCCACTCAATGTTGGCTGAGGTGGGTTCAGGCTGGAAAAAGGACCGAGGTGGCCAGACTAAAACATGGCACCAATGTATGAAGTCTCTAACTGTTGGTTTAAGCCATGTAGGAAGATACAGACTAGGTGGTTGGGGTCCACGGGACAAGAGGAACTAGTGGTTGGAGACCCTACGTGATATGGCTCAGAACCGATGTCAGTGGCGCAGATGTATACACACATTATCCTCATCTTAACAACGCTATACCGAATCTCACCATTTTGTCACTCCTCTTTTCTTTCTTCTCGTACTTTATATTTCTTTTGACTGCATTCACTTATCTTCATCCTTCACCTCACTACCTTTTTACTTGATGTGCTGATATGAGATGTGGCAACTCGGACCGTTACGCAGTAATGCCTGGTCCTATGTTGATAATGATGATGATGATGATCATCTGCTCCACTAACACTGATTTAGGGTACATAGCTAAGAACTAATATTGGTTGTCTCACGAATTTCAAACAAGAAACTTACATTCCCTCATACGATTCATGTTTTTGGTTGACCATCCTTCACTCTCTTCTAACTTAATCATATTTTAAATAAAACTGCACGCATCCCAGTCGAAATGCACTCAGTAACCACGTGTACGATAATGTAGTGGACGATGAGTGTATAAAGACTAGTGATGCTGCCTATCTGTTCAGATCTCAGTAAGCGAAGTGGGGTTCGGACCCGTGTCCTATCGGTTGGAAGTTGCAGTGCAAAGACCAATGGGCCACAACTCCAAACACTGCATGATAGGTTGGGGAAGTATAAGATATATCCTAGCTACCTTGGACGACGGAGGTTTACAACCATATCAACCAACTCACCTACTTTACCTGAGATTCAATGTCCTATCACTTCGCTGACCACATAGTGACTTTGCCACTAGTGGGTAATGCCATACAGGAAACGACAGTAAAATACCTGAAACCCTTGAATTCCCCACCTTTAGTAATCATGTTTCATAAGTATATAGCAGCATAAAACGCATTGCTGCATAGTAAACCGGGTGTTTAATAGACAATCAGATATCCTTCTGTACTCAAAGAGGCACAAATCAGAGAAAGCTGACCAAACTTTCTGTATATAGAATAATCACAAACTTGAGATTTCACAGATATTGTGCTATTGTGCCACTTCAGCCGATCCGAAGCTATTATTTAGTTTCTAAACATCGGTTTCAGTTATCACGTGAATTTCATACAGAAAACTGAAGCTCAGATTCATGGATGGAAAGAAAAGTAGGTGACTTCATGGATTAATGTCATATATTACGACTTCTCCTATAATGGGTCATGATGCACTAAAAGATACCAACGTAATACAACAACTCTTATCCCACAGTACCAATTCATGAAATAACCACCTCTTCCCTTCTTCATACGAATGGTAAACAGTGAGAGATATTGGAGCCACCACTGAGACAAAACTTGTAACACATGTCCATACCACTGACCTTGGTAGTTTATAATGAAAAACCGTCTGTACCACTTGTTTTTGGGCCTAGGATTACCTACACGGTGTTTAGAGTCGGATAAAAACAATCCTTTAGAAACAACAGCAATTGAACGTGCAGCCATCATACATTCTCGATTGTGTGTGTGTGTGTGTGTGAGAGAGAGAGAGAGAGAGAGAGAGCAGTTTTCATAGATGCAGACCAGAACTGTCCACACTGCACATCAGACCTTTGACTGTCAGTGACAAGCATATGCCATACTTACGGAGCATCAAATAACTAGACGAGATTTCAAAACTTGTTCATAATCTATCAAATAAATGAACAGATTTTCTTTACACTCACAGTCTCTGATCGAATTCGTTTCATTTCAACTTCGAATTCTTTATCTAATCGTTCCATTTGTAGCCTGTAATTGCGTAAGACAACTTCCATTTTCTGATCATACGTTTTTGTCAATGCCTATACAATAGAAATAATTAGTAAAACATTGTAACAGGATATATATAGGTCGTTGAAAGGAAATATTTTTTTTCGCTGATAAAAATCTTGTTCATGAATAAGAACAAGACATGTATCAGCGAAGAAATATTTCTTTTCAACGACTTCATTATCAAGTTATACAGTCATATTTACAATCGGTAAAATGACATAATGGCTCAGTCAATATACAAAATATACAATATGTATTGGTGGTAGGATTTGTCCAAGTGGAAGAAATAGAAGATGGACCACTAGATAAGGAATCAATTGATCTCAGTTGGTAAGATAAGAGACAAGTGCTGTCAAAGAATTGTAAAACGATGATAATTTAACTGAAGAGTGGAAAATGGGTCAATGAAGGGGAAAATGTTGATAATGAGAGAAGTATACCAAAGTAGAGTGAAATGAAATTGACAAAATAACCAAAATGAATTATTAAGGCCGAGGTACAGAAAGTGGTTTCACAAAACGTTTCTGAATGCAAAGTTTCGGTTTTGTTCATGTATAGCTAATGCTTCAGCTATGCACAAGTGGTGGAAACATGGACCTTTCGAGTAGTTCAATTTACTTTGTACATCATTTTAAAGAATGAATCTCGAGGCACTGAATGACCTTACTCTACTAGGTGTTCACATATAGATGTTGTTTTTCTTCCCTCACTTTTGGAAAGCCAAACGGGGTAGTGTTCAGCAACACTTTTTCGGAGGGCTCACTTACAATGCCCAATATAGTCAGCTCCATAGGAGCATATAAACTTGTGAATACACATGCATGTGGATGAGGGGTGATTCATTTCTTTCGATTTTTACCAATAAATCTTTTAGGGTATCCGTTATTTGATAGTGTTGTTCTAAGAGTTTCGATTTCAACATCTACCGTGTCTTCTGAATAGATTTTATAGTTAAGATGAACTGAGCATATCCAATACTGGGCGAAAAGGAAGTCCATCTTTATGCACCTTCATCAGACCATATAAACAGGGCATGTTTGACCCAGATGGTTTAAGCTATTCATACATTTCCGGGGTAATTTAAGATTCATCTTTCAATTTTCTTAAGATTTTTAATATTTGATTTTCAATATCCTCTGTTCTATCCTTCTGATCTCTGGATTTTAGAAATTTATTAACATCGCAAAGAATTAAGCAGAGTTTATTAATGTGATCCGACCGATCCCAAACCACGACACCAGATCCTTTGTCTGGGCGTACAAGATAATATCCTTGTTATTTGGTAGTTCTTTCAATTGCGCTTTGCGCTCTTTAAATACCACACTTCGTTGTCGACATCGTATGCCATATCATGGTTGTTCTTTGTATTCATGACTAAAAGTCATTCAAATTTCGAAAAAATATGAAGCGTACAATACAGCTAATCACTCCAAGATAATGGAGAATATTTGTAGCTCAGGTAGATGGTCTTGGTTGTATTGTGTTAATCACTTCGTTTCTTATATATTGGACTTATACATTTATTCAGTCGGTATGTACGGAGGAAGTAGTAACAAAAGCAATATTTTAGCGTCAAATTCATTCAACTATCAAAAAGATGAGAGTCGTAGGTTTAGTGTGTGTAAATCATCTATAGCATCGCGTAGATCGAAAACTATGTTTTATCTAAACAAAACAACTTTTGCTCTAAACAAACCAATGAAAAATTTACTACCGATTTATGACGAAGTAGATTTGAGTTGGTTCAATAAAGATGTCTTGTTTGACCTTTTCGCACTTACTACAATGACATCAGTAAGTATACACATCAATTGAAAAATATGAACAAACATTTTGACATATATACACACATATAAACACGGAGGGGGAAAAGAGGAACATAAGTTATTCAATCGCAAATGAATCTATTACATTTAACTGTAATACACAAAAATTAAAAACATTTGTGAGCACCCATTTGACCTTGACTTACCAGTTAGATAGAACAGATTGTAGGTCAGCATACTGCTTAAGATAGCGTACATACAAATGAACTTGACTAAATTATCAAACAGTCTTTTCTCATCTTTGTTTCAGTCACATTTTCACAGAATCAATAAATTTTTTTGTTTTTTAGTGATCACATTTACATTTATAAAATCAATTCAGTTCATATGGTAAGCATTACTTCTGTTGGAAAACTAGACATTTTGAGTGGTAAACTAGACAAGACAGTTTGGTAACTGTAAAGTGAGATTTCGATCTTATCCGCTGATGGTCTGTCACAACTTAATCGGTAGAGCATTGAATGGCAGTAGCCGGGGATTTTTTTACCAACCTTAATCATCACGATTAGTGTCTGTTAACCAAACTATCCTCAGTGGGGTCGAAAGTGAGTGCTGCTGAAGCGTCCCCTAAGAAAACAAAGTGGCTGCCCAGTGCACTCCGGTTATCGATGATTCTATAACTAAAACCAGTCTGTGATTAGTATCACCCTTAAAACACTAACTAACTTGATTCTATACAATGTATCAAAAGCTAATGATAGTATGTGATGAATACTATTTAAAATCAATCGACATGGATTTCTCGAAGTTCTAATGAGAAGGCATGACCTGTGACATCAAGCCATTCGATGACACAATCAAATAATCTAAGCTAACAATATCATGTTTTTCAAAATGTAGCGATTGGAACTCAGTTGCATAACAATGGGATGATTATTCATGGAAATATAAGAGAGTTATGTTGGCTTAGAAAAAAAGGTAAAACATTACGTAATAAAATGCAGGTGTTTTAACCTAAATCAATAGCCATGTGTTTATAAAAATCAAATGACATGAACTCTTGATATCCCGTAACCAAAATATTTTTGTTAATATAAACACCAAAAAAGTTAAGATTTTAGACGAATAAACTAATATCAGATAATCGTGAAAGATAAATGAAGTGAGCAAACAAATGGCAATCGATACACAAATTGTAGAGACGAGAGTACAAATAAGCAAAAATGATGCAAGAAAACTGAACCAACACTGCTCTGACAACGATGAAGAGCGGAAGTAACTCAAACATAAACTGACCAAGAGTCTTCGTGTCGACCGCGAGCAGTGGAGGGTAGCGAAAGCGAGAGAGATGGAGAAAGCAAAGGCGATCGGTAACACTCGGCAACTATTTAGGCTTATCAACCAAACCGACAAAAAGAGGAAGATGGTTAATGAAACCATTACCGATGGGACACCGATAAACTCCCATAACAGGTGACTAGAACGTTAGGCAGAACACTTTAAAGCAGAGTTAAAATGGTCCTCAGCATCGCTTCAGTTATCCAACATCTACGCCGAAACTGAATAGGAAGTAGATATCGGTTCTCCAACTCTTCTTGAGGCTGAGAAAGCTGTAACGAACCTGAAACGATGTAAAGCAGCAGGACCTGACAGATTGACACCTGAGGTCTTCAAGGATTATTATTTTTTATTCCCTTGAGTTCCTGGTGGAACATATGGCTTCAGTAGCACGCCTCCATTGCACTCTCTTCTCTGCAGTCTTTCCAACCTGGAGCCACCACTGCCCGCAAGCTTTCATTTCTTCCTCACATGATCTCCTCTATGTTACCCTCGGCACAGACGCCCAACTCGTCGTTTCACTAGAGGGCCTGGCGCGTGATGTCCCCAATCTGCCTTCTCAGTGTATGCCCAGTCCATCTCCACCTCCTTCTTCTGCATATTTGTTGGGTGATAAGTTGTTGGTTGGTTCGTTGCCAGGCCAGAGTGAGTTCCTCCTTGCTTATTCTTATTATTCTGGCCTTCTGACCTTCAGTATCGAGTGAGCGCAGGCAGCTGTTGATGAATGTCTGTAGTTTATCGGAAATGCTTTTCGTGACGCGCCAAGTTTCGCAACCATATAGCAGTACTGACTTGACTGAATTGGTGTTACAAATCCGGATCTTGTTCACGCTTTATGCTGAGTGCAGTAGATCTCCACACTGATTTCAAATTAATGAAAGCCTGTCTTGCTTTTCCGATCGTGGCTTTGACATCCTCGTCTGTGCCACCGCCGCCCGTAGTTGAAACAATTCTGCCTAGGCAGGTGAAAGAGACTACTTTCTTTAGGTTCTTCCCGTTAATCGTGATTGGTGCTTCAGGGATAGAGTTAAGAAATCGCTAAATAAAGTGACAGAGGTAATAGGTGGTGTATGGGAATCAAGAGTAGTGTCGTCAGACTGGCCTACGTTCCTCATCATACCAGTCTATAAGAAGGGAGAGGAATCTTCCCGTGACAACCATAGACGAATTAGTTTGACTAATATTGTGTTGTGACGCCTAACCAGAGTTCAACAACAGCAAACTCGAGAAAATTAGATAGGTTTCACACCTGGTCGAGGGTGTATCGATCAGATTTTTACCCTACGACACAGAAACTTACTTACAGGCGGCCGATACTTGTCGTATTTCTTGACCTGAACGCGGCATTTGACTCTATCGACCGTATGATATTGTGGTAGTGTCTGATTGTGAAGGGAGTACCGACCAAGCATAAAATGCTTATCAAATCTCTCTACTAGAACTCATGCAGCTGTGTCAGAGCTTATGAAGAGTAGTCGAGTGAGTTGACAACAACTAGTGGTGTCCAGGAGGGATATCCACTGTCACCGTTCTTAGTTAACTTCGTCATAAACGTACTTATATACACAAGCCATAAGTCTATTCAGAGAGAGTTAAAAGATGGAATTAAAGTGAGTTCCTGTAGGGCCTATTACTAATGTACCCAATAACCTGTTTTATCAAACATATTAGGTGAATCTATATTATTTCTGAGCAAAAATGTCCATACTTTATGTACACATCAGAGTAAGTACATGGATGTGAGGAACAAAAATGTGAATGCGAACTCTTCAATATGGAATAGAAAGTTAATAATTCTGAAGTTTAGTCTCATTCAAGAATGCAATCACACATCATGAACTTTATGTACAACATCGGATTGATTAACCAAATGTCACAATCATACTTGAGAGATAGAAGAGTTCATAAAACATTCTGGTTTGCTTAATATAAGTGAAAAACTTGGGCACTGTGGTAGAATGTAGTTCCATATTAGATTTGTTTATTTGATATAAAGCGCACAGTGATACAGTATTATTTAATTGATTACGTTTCGAGCATAAATTATTGCTCATAATCATATCAATGTGATTTGCTGTTTGACATGACTATTGCATTCAAAAGTTGAATTAGCAAAATATGACATTCCCCTCTTTAATTTTATGCCCGTCTTTACTGAACCTCAACAAAATCGGGTATGAAGACAAGTACTCATCGACGACATTGGATGATGGTCGCAGTATATCACAAACTACTACATATTAGAAAACGTTACCCATTAGTTTCTGAACCAATGAAAAAGTAATAACTTGCTCACCATAAAAACTGATGGTTACATGGGGTTTTGGATACTTAATATTTAAGTAGTCTTAACCTGGGAAGAAACAGTTGTCTAGTACTCTCAGCTTTTCACTAGTTCCCTACCTAATATCAATATGTAATGAAGACTTTTTGGAATTCTAAATTTAAGTTAACAATAACAAAAAAACATACATCTAGTCTGTTTGGATTTAATCACTTTCAATCACTTGAATTACAACATACTTTTGCACATACATGTGAACTGAAAAATCTGAATTTATGCACATTTATTGTTAAAATGCTTTTATTTTGTAGGTATGCATGTGTTTCAAGCAGAACGACTATCATTCTAACAGAGGCTGGCTGATAATGATATTACATATATATATACCAACTTGAAAAATCTCTAAATCCCCAAAAACTCCCAAATTCAATTGAACTAGTGCTCATTGGTGATTAGCTTCGAGAGATGATTCCCGAAGTTCTAATGAGAAGTCGTGACCGGTGGGGTAAACCTGGTGGCCGTGATGATAAATACTAAACGATGACATTGGGTGATGTTCGCACTATATCACGAACTGACAGAAGGTGGGAATATGGACCATTACGTTTCGACCCAGTGGCTCAATGGTAACGTGCTGGCCACGGAACCTGAAGGCCGAGGGTTCAATACCTGGGGAGGTGGGGGGGGGGGTTGTGGGTGCTAGTTGCTGAAGAGTCCCATAATAGGACTTAACATCTGTCCAGTGCTCACAGGTTTCCAATGTTCCTCCAACTGATGTTAGTTCATGATGAATACCAACTTGAAAAATCTCTGAATCCACACAAACCCTCCAAATTCATAAACATATGTATATGTTTGCAGCAAGGTTAACGCTAGAAACCGATAGGCCAAACAATGTCTTATTTTATACTAGAAAAGAGTAGTTGATAATAATGGATGATTACTACAGCAGGTATGCAGCAAACTATCAATAAAGACGAGGGGTTGAATTAGGATTCCAAAAAAACACATCACCTACATCTACACATTACTTCTTCGCATTTATGCGCTGAAACTGTGCAGAACCTCTACATATATACATATATATTTAAACTATATAAAGGTGAAAATTGATATGAAAGAAAACAAAGTATAAAACATACAGAGAATTCTGCATTCATTTTATTTTCTAACACTTCCATTTGTTGTTGTGCACGTTCATTTAGCTCACGTGTTTGATGCACTTCTTGTTTTGCCAATATCCTGAATGCACGTAGGGCAGCTTTACGTTTCACTCTATGAATATAAAATAGAGAAAAGAAAGAAGAGAAATCCAACAAAAAATTGACAGATTAATAAGTAGAAAGGATAGATTTAATACGGAAACTTACATTATCACTAACTTAATGATAAGCCTACAGTCTACTACTGAGCAATATAAGTAGTATCTGAAGGTTTGTAGAGGTTTATTAATTGATTTCAGGCTGTAATTCATCATGGACTGACACGAGTTGGAGGAATAATGGAAATCTAGGAGCACAGAAGTAGGAAATGTGGACTATTGGACTTCGACCCAGTGGCTCAATAGTAAGGTCCTGGGTTCGATCCCTGGTGCGGTGGGGTCATGGATGCGCACTGCTGAGGAGTCCAATACTAGAACGAAACAGCAGTCCAGTTCTTCCAGGTTTCCAATGCTCCTCCAACTGATATCAGTTCATAATGAGTTCCAAGCTAAAATATAAGTAGTAGTTAGAAACTGCTCACACTGACTAATCCGTAGATTTTGCTAGTCAGATCAGAGAGATCTTAACACCGAACACGTAGTTCTCACCTACTTTAAGTCTGCGTTCACATTCAAATTCAGCTCATAAAGTGCATAGCTGTTTGTATAAACTAAATTTGACTACCTAAATGGTTCGGCAATAGAACTTGGATGTAATGCATCCATACATTTTTTCTCTTTAACTACCATAAACACTATTCGTACTGCTCCCATTATTGTTTTCAAATCCGCTAATATTGTTTATTTGATCTTGTGTTAGCAGATCTATGATGTTGAGTAGCGTTCACCAGTAATTACTGATATATTAAAACCAATTTAGTAGTCACATACATGCTGGTGTAGTAAACAATGCACTACATCTGGTGTGTAATAGATAATCACACTATTAAACTGATAAAATTTGATAGATGAAGCAAGATAGAACTCAAGACCCAATCGTTAAAACTCTAATGCTTCAACCGACAGACTACAAATCAACTGTTCAAGTATTATTATAGAATTACGATGACAATCAACTACAAACTTGACATTAATTATCAATTCACTCAATGTAAAATGTACTTTAACAAACGTCACTGTCCATTTTTATCTAGCAACTGAAAACGTTCAAGATTAATCTGTGGTAAACATAACACTTGGGTCGAGAGGCACTAGGTGAAATGAATGAGAATGGAGAATTGTTTGCAGAATTCTGCGCATTCAACGATTTGGTGATTGGAGGCAGTGTGTTCAGGCACAAAGATATCCACAAAGCGACATGGATTTCACCAGATGGACACACTAAAAATCAAATCGACTTTATCTCAATCTCAAGAAAATGGAGACGCAGTCTACTTAACACAAGGTCAAGAAGAGGAGCAGATGTAGGTTCAGACCACTACCTAGTGCAAGGAACCTTCCAAATCAAGTTAAAGGCCTTCAAGGAAGCTGGTGATAGACCTCAACCCAAGTACAACACTCGGAAACTGAAGGATGAAACTACAAAGGAGATCTTCATGGCAGCCATCAAGACAAAACGGGAGACATCGAGGGACATCCCTGAAGAAACCTGTGTGGAAGAACACTGGAAGTCTTTGAAAGCTATGTGGAAAGAAACCTGCACAACAGTATTAGGAAGGAAGAAGAAAGAAGACAAGGAATGGATCTCGACGGATACCTGGAAGCTGATAGAGGAGAGGAGGATGGTGAAGCAGAAGATAAACCAGTGCAAGGATGCTCAACGACAAGAGGAACTGAGCACAATGTATAAAACACTGGACAAAGAAGTGAAGAAGAGTGCACGCAAAGACAAAAGACACTTCTACGAAACACTGGCAAGTGAAGCAGAACAGGCTGCAGGTAAGAGAGACCTGACGACATTGTATCAAATAACCAGGTTGCTATCAGGGAATAGACCAACACAGATGAAACCAATAAAAGATGAAGAAGGAAATTTAATTACGAAAGAAGAGAAACAGAGGAAACAATGGGCCAACCACTTCAAGAAGCTCTTGAATCGACCACCACCTGCACTTCGTCCAGAAATACCACCTGCAGCCGCTGAACTACAAGTGAACATTAATCCCCCAACGAAAATGGAAGTCCTGAACGCCATAAAGCTACTGAAATGCGGGAAAGCAGCAGGACCAGATGGAATACCGCCAGAAGCACTGAAAACAGATGCAGAGACAACAGCGGCCATGCTCACACCACTATTGCAGAAGGTGTGGAAGGAAGAGAAGGTACCGGACGATTGGAAGAAGGGTTACCTTGTCAAACTGCCGAAGAAGGGAGACCTCAGTGCTTGCAAGAACTGGCGTGGAATCACTCTCCTGTCCACCCCAAGTAAAATATTAAGCCGCATCATCCTGGAGAGGCTTAAAGACGCACTGGATTCAAAACTGCGACCGGAACAGGCAGGCTTCAGGAAGTACAAATCATGTGCTGACCAAATTGCAACGCTTCGTATCATCATAGAACAGAGCGTAGAATGGCAATCAGCTCTATACCTCAACTTCATCGACTTTGAGAAGGCCTTTGACAGCGTCGACCGAGAAGTAATTTGGAAACTGCTTCAATACTACGGAGTACCGCAAACCTTTATCCGCCTCATTCAACAACTATATGAAGATGCTACATGCCAAGTAATCCACAATGGGAAGCTCAGTGATGCCTTTGAAGTGAAGACAGGAGTGAAACAAGGTTGCCTACTATCCCCCATGATATTCTTGATTGTGGTGGACTGGATCATGCAGCAAACAGTAGGCAGCGAGAAGAGGGGGATACACTGGACGACGGAAAAGAACCTAGAAGACTTGGATTTCGCCGATGACTTATGCCTAATGTCACATAAACTTGAAGATCTGCAGGCAAAAACTAACAAGTTGGTAGAAGAGTCAGGGCAGCGAACACGGGACTTCAGGTGAATATAGAGAAGACAGAAGTGATGAAGATACCGCACCACCACCATCAACAACAACAACAACAAACTCCAATCACCGTCAACGGGAGAAACTTAAAGGAAGTAACCTCCTTCACTTATCTAGGAAGCACTGTTTCAACTACAGGCGGGACGGACGAGGACGTCAAAGTCAGAATCGGAAAAGCAAGACAGGCGTTCATCAGCCTGAAACCAGTGTGGAGATCTTCTGCACTCAGCATGCGGAACAAGATACGGATTTTCAACACCAACGTAAAGTCAGTGCTCTTGTATGGCTCAGAGACTTGGCGCGTCACGAAAGGTATTTCCAATAAACTACAGACATTCATCAACAACTGCTTACGCTCGCTGCTGAAGAACAGATGGCCAGAAAAAATAAGCAACAAGGAACTCTGGGAACGAACCAACCAAGAACCTATCACGCAACAAATATGCAGGAAGAAGTGGAGATGGATTGGCCATGCACTGAGAAGGCCAACTGAGGACATCACGCGTCAGGTCCTCGAGTGGAATCCCCATGGGAAGCGACGAGTTGGACGTCCGAGGGTGACATGGAGGAGGTCGTGCGAGCAGGAAATGAGAGCTTCTGGGCTGTCGTGGGACCAGGTTCAAAAGATCTCAGAGAACAGAGGTCACTGGAGGCGTGCTGCTGAAGCCCTATGTTCCACTAGGAACCCAAGGGACTAATAATAATAATAATAATAATAATAATAATAATAAACATAACACTACTGCATAATACAAACAAAACTACTCATTTGATCATATTGCCTGGAGTCGCGGCTTATTGGTTTAAGCAGACAGACAGACAGACAGCTAAAATGAACGTAGTACCTGGCTTACAAGTGACATCGGTACAAGTTGCCATACTTCACAGTAGTATAAAAAAACAACATGTGACTGAAATCAAAGAAGACAAAGTTTTGTGAGAGAATAAGCAATCTGAAGATAAAGATCAGTGCAAATATTCGAAATTTAGAGGACGTTAAAGAGTGAATATATCTGCACCATTGTGACTAATTTTCAGTCATATCACCAAGAGTTCTCAACCATTGATTCCTTTCGTCTTAGGGTCACCAACCAAACAGTTTACATCTCCCCATACCGCTCAGATCAACAGTCAAGGAATACATGGATTGGTGTCACATCTTAATCTGGCCAACCTGATTCTTCTTCTAACCTAATCCAATTCTCCCTAGCATTACCCATCGAGATAGGTGATGGCTCAGCATGCGCAGTACATGTCCAAGCCATCTCAGTCGAATAAAGTTCACAACCACATCAATCATCTTGTTTAGTACTCTTCATCAGACCGCAATACTGCTCACACAATGATTCCAGCAAACGCTATCAATGCAACAAAGACATCTATGGTCAAAAACCCGAAAGCACTAGGTATTTCGTACTTTCAACAGCCATTTCTCACAGCCATATAACAGGATAGAACGGACTGCGGTGCGCTGTACTCATCCTTTGATAGATAGTCTGATATCTTGCCAGTCGGTGCCAGAGACGATGCAACCAGGTAGTGTCGTTAGTACTCGAACAATAGATGGACGAATATGCGCAAGGTTGCTGAGTGGATCACAAAAGGAAAAAAAAATTCAAACTGATCATATCGCATAACCATGAGATCATGAATAGCATAGAGTGTAACTATACATAGATAAGCAGTCTCTACAAAGTAGGATCCTCAATGAAAACTACACCGCCTCAAGCCATCAAATTTGTCATACAGTATAGAAAAATAAAAAACAAACCCCAGGAAAACAAAGCAACAACAAGAAGGAAATAAGTGAGTGACATAGTACACCGATATGGACTGATAAAATGCTGATGTATGTTTTGACGAGTGTAAGTTGAACGGAAGCAGTCGGTAGGACGTCCTGAATCTAGGTTTCGTGCTTGGTACCACTTATCAGCAACTCGTATCTGAAACCTAGATGGAACTGACATCCCACCTGAGATTCAAGCCCGCCTCACCCAGTGCTGCAGTCAGAAACGTTACTACTGAGGTGTTTGGTCAGTGACTGATCTCCTGTAGGACAGGGTTAAGCATACTAATTAGTCACTGGAGGGTAACCAACTTCATGTTATCTAGCCCTACGCGTTAATCGAATTCTATCAATCATTTTGTAGTATGATCACCAGGCTAGTTGAGTCAACACCGTGATGCACTTTGATTGAGGTAATCAGCAGGAAGCCTTTTGATACTCATCATCGCCTACGGAACTGATAACCGCATCACTCTACTTGTGTGACAACAATTTTCCATAACTTTCATTTAGTACCTAAAATTGTTAATTTTCATCATCTCTAAAATCGAAGCGGGGGTGGGGGGGGGGAGGCAGAGTCAGTACTGGGTAGGCAGAGAGATGTTTCAAAACACAAAATTACAGGAGATGTTTGTCATATATCTCTGGAAAACACAAATTACTTAAAGTGATTTCATGATGATAATAATAATAATAATAATAATAATAATAATAATAATAATGATAATGGTGATAATAATAATAATAGTAATAAACTCACTGTTCATCCTCATGGAATTTCTTCTCCTCTAAATTAGTATTTACAATATGCTTAGATGTTGTAGTGACCACTTGACCGTCGACAACAAATCTACGTGTTCTTGTCCTTGTACGATAAGCACTATTTTGACGTTTAAGCTGAATTTTATGAAGAGGTTTAAGAAAACACAACACAGAACAGATCAGTATATGATTTAGCTTAAGAGGAAGTGTAGCCAGGTTTCTTGGCTTAAATTTTCAATTATGAAGTGGTTAATTCAAGGTACTTTGAATCCTTCTTCGTTAACATCGACATGGGTAATTCATGTAGTATAATAAAGTCACAAAAAATAAGTTCATCTCATCGCCTAGTAACCATAGATGTACCGAGTTGGGTTGTATTAGCTGTATTATGGCCTAAGATATTATCTTAATAGATTATTCATGATTCTCATCATATCATTAGAGATGTTGCTAGGTAGTTCAGAATGGACCAACTTTGATAAGTTTCAGTTGAGAGTTGATTTTTAACATCGCAGAAGCAGAATAACTACACCGGAAAATATGCTTAAAATCTAAACGAACTCTGGAGTTTGGATTCAGTCGTTGTTGTCTTCATAAAAGAAGCAATAGGATAGAGCTAACGCATATAATCAGATTAGAAAGCTAACATAGAGAAAAACATTCAATTTAGTAGACGACTTTAAAGCCATCGATAAAACATGAAATAAACGCTACTCCCACTTCTACCCTAAGGATGAAATTGTAGTCGACAAAAGTGTATGTGCCAAGGGAGTGGATATATCCACGCCATTGTGATTGATTTTGCGTTATATTACTGAGAATCTCTAACAACTGATTCCTTTGTCTAGAGGATCACAACAAGACAGCTTACATCTTAATGCACCGTTACGACGAACAGTCGGAAAGATCAGGGAGTGGGTTCAAATCCTGATTTGATGATTCTTAATTTTCTTCCAACCTAATTCTACTTCAGCTAACATTATGCATCAACGTAGGTGGCAGCACAGCATATGCAACAAATACCTCATTCGGTAGAGGTTTAAATCTAATTAACTGCCTTGTCTAGTATCCCATCCTCAGCTTCCTCATAGTTCACAGTGATTCCGATTCATTTGAGCAGGTCTACTAAGACATCAGTGGTCAGAAACACATAACCTCTACATTTCTCTTACTTTCAACAGCTTTGTCTCACAATAGTACAGCAGGATAGAGCAGATTACTGTATATTATACCGGTCATTCGATAGGTAGTAATGTATCTAAACAGCATCTAAGATGACAAACCAGCAAAGGATATGCGAGTCTTTTATATTTGAGCTGAGACTTTCCTAATGATCAACTCTTTCGAACTGAAGTAACCCCCATAAACTAAGTGGGATGGTCAATGCACTCTCTGCAAATGTGTGGAACGCAAACAACAAGCATTAGAAGAAGTGAGTTTAACAGGAAATATAAATTCATTGCCATGTTATCCTTATGGCGAAAAGATGGAACTGAGAACAATATGAAAATAAGGTTGCAATGAAAAAATCATTAGTAGTATACCAAGGGATGTTCTGTATAGGAACAGTGCTGAAGGAAACAATGAACGGAAACGTCAAATGTCTTCGAATAACCGATATCAATTTAAATCATTAGCAAATATTTCGATTGTTTACTTTACATTCTATGCATAGTCGGTTAACTGATTTCGACTGGTGGCTTGATCATTATGCTCACAACATCATTATGTAGAGCTTTAAACGCTGGACCTCTAAGCGATGAGTAATGCATTTAAATTATCGCTATTTACTTCACAGCCAATGCACTATAAGCTTTTATAAAGTGTTCAGGTAGCCTAGTGTATAAACACCAATATCATGCCTGAGTTGTGGTAATTATAGTTTAGCATAGTGAAGTGATTCCCGGTGTAGTGCATAACGCTATGGCCTTCGGAGTGATGGGTACGAGGTCCGACGCTCGGTGGGAGCAACATAATTCCGTACTGGGGTGCAGGTACATCCAGCTGATGAGTCCTGAATAGGGCGAAACGCGCGTGCTCCATTCTACTGCGAGTCATCAGGATGAAGTGGTCCCCAAGTCACCTCATATACGAATCCCACTTTATGAATTTTAAAAGAGTACGAACAACTATGGAAACCATAAAAACTTGAGTCGAGTTATTTCGCAGAATATCCTGCAAAGTATAATCGTCATCGATTTGAACAACTGAGTAGGGAGACTATTTTTAAGAATCACTTGACGACTATTAATATTATTATTTGTCCTTCGGGTTCTTAGTGAAACATAGCACGTCACCATTTCATTCTCTTCTCTGCAATCTTCTGAACCCGGCCAGAGTTCCATGTTGCTCATTTTTATTATTCTGGCCATCTGATCTTCAGTATCGAGTGAGCGAGAGTAGACGATAGCTGTTAATGTATGTCTGTAGTTTGTTGGAAATGCCTTTCGTAAGGCGCCAAGTTTCTCAACCATCACACAGAAGCACTGAGTTGATTGACATTTATGCTAAAAACCTGGATCTTGTTCACGCTTTGTGCTGAATGCGGCGGAATGAAGTAGATCTCCACACTGATTTAAGATTAATGAAGGAAGGCCTGTCTTACTTTTCCGATCCCGGATTCGACGTCTTCATCTGAGCTACCACCTGTGGTTGAAACGATGCTGCTTAGGTAGGTAAAAGTAACAACTTCCTTTAGATTTCGCCCACTGATGGTGCTTGTTGTTGGTTGAGTATCATCACCTCTGTTTTCTCTACGTTTACCTGAAGTTCCGTCTTCACCGCCTCTTCTGCCAACGTGCTAGTTTTCACCTGTAGATCTTCGAGTTTGTGCGACATTAGACTTATGTCATCATCCGCGAAATCCAAATCTTCTCCTGAAGTTTTTTCATCGGTCAAACAGCAAATGCCCATCTTCTTACTGCTCATAGTTTTCTGTAACATGATCCAGTCCAGTCGAGTCGACCACAGTCAGGAAGATCATTGGAGATAGTGAGCAGCCTTGTCTTACTCCTGTCTTCACTTCAAAGGCATCACTGAACTTTCCATTGTGAACCAACTGGTATGTAGCATCATATGGCATACAGTTGCTGTTGAGTGAAGTTAATAAAGATTTGTGGCACTAAAGCTGTAGTGTTGAAGCAGCTGCCTGCCAAATTACTTCTCGGTCGACGCTGTTGAAGGCCACTTAAAAATCGATGAAGTTGAGGTGGAGAGCTGAGTACCATTCTATGCTCTGTTCTATGATGATACGTAGCGTTGCGATTTGACCTGCACATGATTTGTTCTTCCTGAAGCCAGCCAGCCTGTTCCTGTCGTAATTTTGAATCCAGAGCATTGTTTAGTCTCACCAGGATGATGCAGATTAATATTTGCGTGGAGTGGACACCAGCATGATTCCTCGCCAGTTCTTGCAAAGACTTAGGTCGCCTACCTTTCTTCGGGAGTTTGACAAGGTAACCTTTCTTCCAGTTAGTCAGCAAACACCTTTCCTTCCTTCCAAACCTCCTGCAGTAGTGTTGTGAGCATGTCCACTGTTGTCTCTGCGTCAGTGCTTCTAGAGGAATTTCATCTGGTCCTGCAGCTTTCCCGTATTTCAGCAACTTTATGGCATTCAGGACTTCATTTCTGCTTTTGTCGGAGGGCATGTGTTCACTGGTAATTCTGTGGCTGGGATGCTGGTGATATTTCTGGACGAGATGCAGGTGTTGGTGGTTGATTCAAAAGTTTTTTGAGGTGGTCGGCCCATTACTTCTCCTCTTCGATAACTACGTTTCCTTCACTATCTTTCATTGGTTTCATCTGAGTTGATCTCTTCCCGGATAGTACCCTGGTTATGTGATATAGTGTTGTTAGGTCTCTCCTACCTGCAGCCTGTTCTGCCTCACTTGCCAATGTGACGAAGAGGTGTCTCTTTCCACGCACTCTTTCTCACTTTTTTGTCTAGTGTAGTGCTTTTAGGGTTGTGTTCAGTTCCTTCTTTCGTTGTTCATCCCTGCACTGCACTACACTGGTTCATCTTCTGCTTCATCATCTCCTTCGCCCTTCTCTGGCAGCTTTCATGTGTCCGTCGAGATCCATTCCTTGGCTTGCCTTTTCTTCCTCCTTAGCACTGTTATGCAGGTTTTCTTCCACGTCCCTTTCAAAGAGTTCCAGCGTTCTTCCACGCAGTTTTCTTTAGGGATGTTGCTCAATATCTCCTATTTTGTCTTGATGGCTGACGTGAAGATGATGTCGTTTGTAGTTTCATCCTTCAGTTCAGTTTGTGTTCTGGGTGTTGAACTTGAACTGTGGTCTATCACCAACTTCATTGAAGGCTTTCAACCTGATTTAGAAGGTGGGTTCCTTGCACTAGATAGTGGTGTGAGTGGTGTGGACCTACATCTGCTCTCCTTCCTGATCTGATTTTGTGTCCAGTAGGCTGCGTCTCCATCTCCATTTTCTTCAGATTGAGATGAAGTCCGTCTGATTTTTAGTGTGTCCATCTGGTGAAATGAAATCCATGTCACTTTGTAAATATCCTTGTGTTTGTACACACTGCCTCCAATCACCAAATCGCTGAATGCGCAGAAGTCTGCAAACAGTTCTCCATTCTCATTCATCTTACCGAGTGCTTCTCGACCAATGATCAATTCTCTTCCTGTGTTGTCCGCTACCAGTCTGGCATTCATGTCAGCCATTAGAATGAATTTCGATGTCGCCAAATGGTGTGGGATCTTGTCCAGTACTGATTGCAGTTGTCTATAGAATTCTTCCTTCTTCTCTTGATCTGCATTATTTGTAGGTGCATAGCGTAGCATTGTATAATTGTGACTTTCCTTACTTTTGAGTTGAATCCATCTTGCTGTCATGATGCTGATCCTGCAGGAGGAGATTGGTTCCCACTGCATGAGAGAGAGCCTTCGATGCTATTGGGGGGGGGAGGGATGTCATGATAGCCACTCGAAAACTCAGTGTGCTCATGGTTGTCGTCAGGTTGACAATATCGAAGTAGATTATTGACTCCCCCTGCAGCTGGCGGTTTGGAGACTACTTCCATTGCATCTACTTTCGCTGATTCCCAGCCTTGCACTTCTATCCTATACCTTCTCATCTCTTTTGCAATCTATGCAACCTTGATAGGTTCATACATGGTGCGGACACTCCATATCCCCATTTTTACTTTCACTTTCATCGACAGAAGACACATCTGCCAATTGGCTTCCCGAAGGTTCTCACCAACCGGCGTCATTTCGTCTCCCTGATTCCAGCGAGTAGTAAGTTTAATTTTACTTTTTATATTTTCTTTGAGGTTTCTTTAGCGAATGGATTGGTTTTATGGGGTAGGGTTGCTAGCCCTATACCCACCCTTCCTTCTTTATCCGGACTTAGGACCGACTAGTAACCAGCGAACTAGTTAACTGGGCGAGGATCTTGGCGACTATACGTTGTAAAATATCCATTGTTATTGCTCATTTCGAATAAATCCATTGACTAACCAAACTGAGTACTTTGTAATATATATTACTATAACATTCGAACAGATGGAATCAGTTTGAACTAACAACCCATTTATCAAGCCGTTCATCAGTAATTCTTAAAATTCTTAAGACGATTGGTTTTGGGCATCGAAGACGTCATAACTACTTTATTGAATAGGTAACTTTACTTAAACTAACTGAACCTTGTTTCATGTTGTAATGTAGACACACAAAAATGTGAGGCAAGTAGCGTTAAGAATTCGATTCCAACATAGACAAAAAAAGTGTTTTACTTCCTGGCTAGTTTGCAGTGTATTTCAAATCACCAAACATAGTTAAACAAATAAACAAACTTTAACGCTTTTGTCAGGTATGAATAAATATTTATGCATAGCTAAATACAATCTAAGTACAATATCTCATAACAAGCAATTCTTTGATGTAAGCTGGACACTGAACTGTACAATAAGTGAACGCTTAAATTACTTACATATGTATAAAACTAGTTTTGCGATTACCAGGTGACTTATTAAAACAGGACTTAAACAAAACTTTAGCGAAAGCTGAAAATTAGTATGTAGTGGTATTAGTATAGATCAGTTAAATATTAAAATCCAGATTGTCAAACTACTCATGGTCATCATCGTCATGAATCAAGATCAACATAGGACCAGGCATTACTGCGTAATGGTACAAGTTGCCACGTTCCATGCCAGCATATCAAATGAAATGGAAGATGAAGGAGGAATGAGAAAATGATGAAATTAGACATAACCGTTAAGATGAGGATAATGTGTGTACAGATTTACGCCAATGACATCGGTTCTGAGTCATTTCACCTAGAGTCCCCAACGATTGGGTTCTCCTGTCCCGTGGACCCCTACAGACTATTCTGCATCTCCTTACATGGCTCAAACGAACAGTCAAGGGCTTCATTCCGTGATTTCATATGACACATGAAATATGGCCTATGCTACGAAGGCAACAGTAGTCAAACACCTAAAGGCCTCTTATGTCTTCTGCCTTTAATGTCTATGTTTCACAGCCATACAGTAGAACAGAGCGAATTGCAGCACAGTACAATAGTTGGCAAAAACTAAGATAGCCTTTTGCATATGTGCAGAGATTTGCTCGGCTGCTGAGCCACCAGGGCTGAAGCGACTTCCCAGGTAAGTGAAATATTCATTGCGCTTAACTACTTTACTCTATATTGTTAGTCAGGGCATAGTTAAAAGCCAGTTTTGGAGCGACAATTCGTGTTTGGGTGATGAGAAACGCATCTCAAACATTCCCAAATTGCCATTCAAGGTGTCCAGAAGAATCTACATCTGTTCAGCGTCTTTACCTAACAGGACTATGTCATCTGCGCATTGTGCATCTACCAAAAATTCTCCTGTGATCAAGTCAATCCCTGTGTAGTCAGATGACGAGAGGGAGACATCCAGAAGAAAGTCTATGATAAAATTGAATAGGAATGGAGAGGGTGAGCACTCTTGAAGGGCACCACTCGACGTACATAGTTAACCTGACATCTAACCATAGGCTCCAACAACTTCACAGGTATTTGGGTAAAGAGCCTTCAATAAGGTGATGTACTTCATTAGATGGAATAGGGTGGTATATGATGTCAGCCCATGAAGCCTCTAACTGTTAATTCTAGCCATGTATTCAATTGCAGACTACTAAAATCGGTAATTTGAGACGTTAGGCGATATAGCTCAGAAACGATTACAATGGTGCAGATGCATTCATAGTTTATATTCACTTTAGGTTATGTTATGGTGACAGATCGTTGTTTCTTTTAATCATTCTTCTTTTCATCTAATTGCTCCTTATGACATTTGATGATATCATTAGTCTTTTTTCCCTTTTGTTGCCATGTGTATTGATGTATTGGTGTGAGGTATGAAAACTTGAACTGCTATGTAGTGATGCCAGGTCATGTATTCATGCTGACTGACTAACTGTAAGTGTTTTTGGTGCCACTCGTGATAAATCTACTCATAGATTACATATTAAACAAGCAATAGAATGATTTGTTTTGTTCCAAAGAAGTATTAAACAATGCTTGTGCATGCAATGAAAACATTGAATAAGCTATGTTCAGCCTACAAGAGCCATATTGTACTCTTAGGCTAAACTGCTGCCTGTGAAACATCTAGTAGTAGTATGATGCAGCAAACCAGATATAGTCTGTTTTTGTGTTAGGACTGATCTTAAAAATGACCTATTCAAATTTCGGTAGGTGGAACGGCGTTGGAATCAGTGATTAACTAGTTGAAGATTTAGTGCCTAACCGAAAGAGCTAGAGCCTCATCCGGATCATATGACACAAGAGACGTATAACTCAAAAGGGGAAGGGATGTTGTATCCGTACCCAGAGAAAATGATAGTCAAAACCAATCAATGAGGAATCTCCTTCACGTCTGTCTTTATTTGTTATTCTTTGAACTCTGATGAGTGACCTCAAACGGAGTGACTCTAAGGCCCATTCTAACAAAAAATGAAATAACGAACAACACTCTATTTTATTAAAGACAGCCTTTCCAACCGGAATAAAGAAATCCTATTGGCAATTTCAGTCGTTGCTAGGGTGGCCCTTGGAGGAATGACTGCAAAGGCCAACCAAGGCAGTTGCGGAAATAACCAATCAACTTTCCGTATTCCAGCCACAAGGGTAGTTTTTCATGAAATAAAGAAACGAAATTGATTATTTCAGCAGATGTTAAGGTGGTAACCTTTAATAACACTCATTCTGATTAAGCTGACTACGCTTTTAAGGCTTTGTGAATGTCCCAGATATTTCGCTTAATACAATTAATTGTGTTGTGCTGGCTAGCCATCTAACTTTGTCTTCTCTTTAAGTTAGCTGATGTGACGTTATTTTGGCTATAGGATGGGTTTTCATTTAGTAATTTGGGGACGAATAATTAGTTAGACATATCTTTCAGTTCATTAATCATAGAACTCAATCGGAACCCAAACTAAGGTTAAGACCAAAATAATCGTCCAAACCGTCAACTCAGTAGCGACGGCATCATCTAAGCGATATAACAGAAACACAGAAAATCCATAAAATAAAGATCAGCTACCTAGAGAGGTCTACTTCAAGTAATTATCTTCAGCATGAATAACCAGTATTTCACTATCTTATTTCAAATAGGCTAGTTACTAGAGAACACTAACTCCACTCCAGGCATGATTTAAACACATACAACCTTAACCAGATGTAATGTGTTAGCATTTTTATTGGAAATTTTATCACAAGAATAAACCGTATGCACTTTCACTCTACATTCTATAGTAATATAAATGAATTAAGTACAGTGAGCATCTTTATCAGTTGTGCACCAACTATATACATTGGGATAAGGTGGATAACATCATACATTGGATGAATATGATATAATGTGAATGAGAGTACCAGCAATTCTTAAGATGAATGTCAAAAAGCACAAGGGTTTCCTATCGGCTGAATCCCAACATGTAATCTAACACGTGGAATAAATGCCTATCATACTAAAAACCAAACTTAATCATTAACCTATGATACTGGAGATAATTATCATTACTTATGATTCTGGCAGCCTGCTTAAATCTTGGGTTATCAAATTTTTCCACTGGACATATACATCAAATTCTTTGCTTTCGATTTGTTTTAATCATTTAAAATATATTTTCTAAATATGTCATGTAGTTTAGCACATTTTTAGAAAGTTTTCAAGTAACCGTTTCTAGAGTAAAGAATAAAACGTAGAAAAAAAAGGCCAAGTTCGATGGAAATATACTTCTACTTTCAAGACACTTAACTAGAATTGCAGATTTTCGGATTAGCTGAATGAACCGCCAACATCAAAATTACGTTCGATTTATTGTTCATCTTTTATTTTAGATTGAATGTTAATCCAACACTAGCTGACTGTTTCACATTATTGCCTTTAATATTGTTAACATTAACGTTATTTGGGTGCGGTAATCATTTCGTGTGAAAATATTGTTCTGGAAGTGAATTTGTTGAAATACAACGTGCTGAGAATTTTATACTGTTTATTGTTTGAAATTAAAGTGACTGTTATTATTATGACTATTATTATTATTAAACATTTGAGTTACATCAACTGGTAAATGCTTAAGGATAAAGATGGAGAGGTGTGGGTGTGTGTGTGTAAGAGAGAAAGTAATACAACTTACCGGAGAAGTAGTCATATTCGCTTTACTGTCAACGTTATTGTGGTTGCTGTCACTCGAAGAAGATGAATTTGCCCGTGTACCATTATTAACAATAGATTTATTCTTATTATCTGATGGTGTAAAGTTTTTCTTAGAATAGATAATTATCTCCCGAATACCCTTTTTCTCCATGGTAATAGGCTGAATAATAACAATAATAATAACAATGGTAGTAATAATACGATAAACAGGAAAGACACGTTGGTTATGCGCAAACATAATCAATGGATAATAAGACACTTTACAACCGTAAAAAAATGGTTAGGAAAGCGTGCAGAAATTAATATGAATTAAAAACTGTAACGCGGTTTTTGGGCATCAATAGTTGGATCAAATAATGCTCAGTGGCTCCTAAGCCATATGATATGATAGTGTAGTGTATGGCATCTCTGTGAATGAAGCACAAGATCACGGTCAACGAAATCTCTGCACATATACACAAAAGGCTAATTGGCCTTCACTAACTTACATCAATTATGGCAATGCTGTGATATCCAATTATCTGTTAAAGGTCAAGAGTATCAGGCTGCAGTTCGCTTTGTTTTAAAAATATGGCTATGAGACATGATCATTAAAGGTGGAAGACATGGGGCAGCTTCAGGTGTTCGACTACTGTTACCTCCGTAGCACAGGCCGTGTGTGGTGGTGTCACTACGCCAGCAATACCGGAGTTATGTGTAGAATTTTAAGGAGGAGGAGTAAGTCAGTTAGTACAGTTGTAAACCTTCAGCCATTCAGATGGCTGGGACATACGTTATGAATGCCTAGTCACCGTCTACTGCGTTGCGTAATGTTGTTAGAAAAAAAAGGGGGTTTTGACTGGGAAAGGGTTAGGTGAGAGAATAAGACAAGACACTACTGCATAAAGTGTTTGACTGTCGGTTTGAGCTATGTAGATCATCATCATTATCAACATAGGACCAGGCATTACTGCGTAACGGTCCGAGTTGCCACATCTCATATCAGCACATCAAGTAAAAAGGTAGTGAGGTGAAGGATGAAGATAAGTGAATGCAGTCAAAAGAAATATAAAGTACGAGAAGAAAGGAAAGATGAGTGACAAAATAGTGAGATTCGGTATAGCGTTGTTAAGATGAGGATAATGTGTGTATACATCTGCGCCACTGACTTCGGTTCTGAGCCATATCACCTAGGGTCTCCAACCACAGGTTCCTCTTGTCCCGTGGACCCCAACCACCTAGTCTGCATCGTCCTACATGGCTTAAACCAACAGTCAGAGACTTCATACATTGGTGCCATGTTTTAGTCTGGCCACCTCGGTCCTTTTTCCAGCCTGAACCCACCTCAGCCAACATTGAGTGGCGAGGCAATCGGTGACTAGGCATACGTAGTACGTGTCCCAACCATCTCAGTCGATGAAGGTTCACAACTTCGTCGACTGACTTACCTCTTCTCCCCAAAACTCTACACCTAACTTCTGCATTACTCACATGGTGACACCACGGAATACGTCCTATACTACGAAGGCAATGGTGGTCAAATACCTGTAACCTTCTCATGTCTTCCACTTTCAATGGCCATGTTTCACAGCCATACAGTAGAACAGAGCGGACTGCTGTGCAGTACACGCGACCCTTAATAGACAAACGAATATCACGGCGGCGCCATAGGTGGCGCAAATTGGCAAAAACCAATCGAGCCTTTTGTATCCGTGCAGAAATCTCATTGGCAACTAACCCACCGGAGTTGATCCTACTTCCCAGGTAAGTGAAGTGGTCAACACACTCAACCACTTCACTCTCTATTGTTAACCGCGGTACCGCTATGTAGAGGGATGCAGACTAGCCGATGGGGTCCAAATGACAACAAAAATCAGTGGTTGGAGACTCTAGGTGATATGGTTAAGAAGCAATGTAAGTGGCGTAGATATATCCGTACATTATCTGGATCTTAATTGTTATATAGAATTCAGTATTTTCTTATTCCTCCTTCCTCTCTCTTACTACTTTGTATTTCTTTTGACTGACTTTCCTTTTTTTCTTCATCTTATAGCTTTACTGCTTGAGATGCTGATATGAGGCGCGGCAACTTGGACTATACTTCTCTACGAATTACTAATCAATAAGGAACTGGAGTTCACAGCTTTCCATAGGTGAGAAGAGAAAACACTAAAAATCGGGTTTAATCCTAGTGTTTACGTGTAGATTTCAAATGATACCGCAAACGTGATTTTACAAGAGCTTCTGTAATTCATTCAATGAACCAGAAGCACAGTCTAAAGCTTGATATAATAGCAATGAATTGGCTATCGATGTACCCAAATCTTAGAGAATCATAACTTTTACGGTTAATGTGCGTAAACCCTTGGATTTTTAATCAGAATGCCGGAAAACATGCTAAATCCTGGTATGTTTCTTGTTTTTCACAGCAGCGCTCCTGTGTGTATGATCCAAATCTAGCATATTCGTCGGTAGAATATCTCCCCGCCCCATATCAAAAAGAAGAGACAGAAGGAGTTAGAAGTATCAGTACTTCTACAATCATTTGAAACAAATAGTGACAACAGGCAAGAAAATTTCATCAGAAGATATTGCTTCACTGAATTGGCATTAAATAAAGAGCTTTCGTTCCGTACTCAGTCTACGGACAGACATTCCTAAAAAACCTATAGATCGAAAAAGTGTAACGCTTTATAGGGATAAAATAATACAAGTGATATGAGATAACAGTTTTTTGCGGTAGGTAAAGTTATGGGAAGTTAACGACTAGCACCTCAATTACCAAAAATGAAATATATCTGAATGTCTATATGTGACTATTCATTGGTGTACAGGAATTTCAAAACTTTGTTGACAAAGCTAAAATTTCTGGCTCCCCAAAGCGGGATACTATCGTTTCACATAAAATTAGAATATCACCGGAAGAAACGAGTGTGAAGTGATGACCTATTTCGGTTACACAGTCAGCACTGGAAAATTGTTACGACCTATTGATCTACAAGTTGATAGCCAAATTAAGGAAAAGCATCATGGTGGATGACAATCGGCTCTCAAACGTATGACTGTTCGGGAAATTACGGAACACACTTATCAACTTTGCAACAATAAATAATTTCTGACCAATAATTTAACTTCCCTACCTTGGCCAGGGAAAACTTAATGAATGACCTTACCTATGAATTTTAAAATGCACTTCTCCCTCTTTTTATTTATTTAGTCACTTCTTTTACACCACTATTATATTCACATTCAAATTTTATTTACTCACTGCCTTTATCCTCCAGCATCACAGAAACTTATTGTCCTTTGTATCAGACATCCTTGATATCTTAATATTCATTAATTCCCTGGAGAAGCTCGGACCAGCCTTCAAAGCAAAACGCTGCAATTATTTCATTTTAAAAACGCTATGACTTACAAAAATAGAAAGCTGTCTCAGGTCAACCTTATACTCAGCAACCAATATTTGCCATACTATTCGGTCAACAACAAGCACAAATCACAATCAGCGGGAGAAATCTAAAGGAAGTTGTCTCTTTCACCTACCTACACACAATCGTCTCAACTGCAGACGGCACAGGCACAGACGAGGACATCAAAGCCAGGATCGGAAAAGCAAGACAGACCTTCCTTCATTAATCTGAAATCAGCGTGAAGATCTACTCCATTCCACTGCGCTGCACTCACCATAAAGCGTGAACAAGATCCGGATTTTCAACACTAATCTCAGTCAAGTCAGTGCTTCTATGTAATGGTTGAGAAACTTGGAGCGTTACAGAAAGCATTCCCAACAAACTACAGACATCATAAATCAACAACTGTCGTCTACTCTCGCTCACTCGATACTGAAGGTCACATGGCGAGAATAATAAGAATAAGCAAGGAGGAACTCACTCTGGCCTGCAACGAACCAACCAACAACCTGTCGCCTAACAAATATGCAGAAGAAGGAGGTGGAGATGGATTGGGAATACACTGAGAAAGAAGACCATTTAGGGACATCACGCGTTAGGCCAGGCTAAGACGTCGAGTGGAACCCAAAGGGAAAACGATGAGTTCGGTGTCCGAGGTGAGGGTGACATGGAGGAGATTGTGTGAGGAAGAAATGAAGGGTTGTGGGTATTCGTGGGGCCAGGTTGGGAAGACTGTAGAGAAGGGAGTGAAGTGGTGACGTGCTACTGAAGTCCTATGTTCCACTAGGAACCCAAGGGACAAATAATAACAATGATAATAATTCGGTCAAATCTTGATCATATAAACTCACTGTCCTTTTACAATCTTTGACCCACTCTGTCTGTCTGAATACAATAGTTTACAGTAGTTTAACTAATAATGTAAAATTTCCCTCGTTATTAATATTCCTTTTATGAATTGTTATATTAACATTATTCGTAATGTCGTAGAGGAGTATATATACATATATGTATATATTTTTTGTTGATGAAAATTCTTAACATTATTCGGAATAAGATGATTATCATCACCGTTAAATGGTATTATTTTGTAACAGCCCATGTTGCTAAATCTCACAGCAACACAGAAATTTAGAAGGCACAAAGATGAAAGATAGAGAAAAAAAGTGATCAAAACTGATGGAAAGTTGTGAAAAGACAATGAGAAAGGATGTAACAGTTTTGAAATTCTCAAACCAGACAATATATGGGTGTATCTATGGCACTGAAATGAATTCTTAGTCACATTACATAAAGTCTCCAACCAACAGTTTCTTCCCCAATCGAGGAGCTTACATTTCTCGACACGGATCAGACTGATAGTCAGAGACTTCATACATTGGTGCCATGTTTTAGTCTGGCCACCTCGGTCCTTTTTCCAGCCTGAACCCACCTCAGCCAACATTGAGTGGCGAGGCAATCGGTGACTAGGCATACGTAGTACGTGTCCCAACCATCTCAGTCGATGAAGGTTCACAACTTCGTCGACTGACTTACCTCTTCTCCCCAAAACTCTACACCTAACTTCTGCATTACTCACATGGTGACACCACGGAATACGTCCTATACTACGAAGGCAATGGTGGTCAAATACCTGTAACCTTCTCATGTCTTCCACTTTCAATGGCCATGTTTCACAGCCATACAGTAGAACAGAGCGGACTGCTGTGCAGTACACGCGACCCTTAATAGACAAACGAATATCACGGCGGCGCCATAGGTGGCGCAA